GAGGACACAAAAGGATTATAAATGAGAAGGAATTTTAGATAATATTTGTACGTTGGATGTGGAGTGTAATGCTGTAGGAGATCGGACGGCGTCGGCTCTCGCCTCCCTCTCGCCGAACGGGGGGATCCTTCCGCGATCCACGCCTAATGAGTGTTTGTATCAATTTGTTAGTATTGTATTTGAATATTTTTGTGCGTTCGTTACGATTTTAATCCCTTGTGGTCGTGGCAGTCGGATCGATGTTTTTGTTTAATATTTCTGTTCGGGTGATATTTTTTTATTTTTAATTCGCCCGTTTGATCGTTGGGCGGGTTGTTGATTAAAGGAATTGTGGGACTTTGTCGACCGATATCTGTACTGGGTTTTGCTCTTTTTAATCTTGCACTTTGCAATTGGGAACGCTATTCGATACTGTGCGGAAACTATGAACGTTATGTTCTGCTTGTAATACTGAATTTTCTCTTTTAAAACAATTAGACTTATTATAAATGTTTTATTACTTACATAACCAACCAACTTATTTAATTATAGCGTTTTTAATTATCGTGTAATTAGAGGATATTTTGTGATATTTTTATTCAATTGTGTAATAAAATTTAATTACGTTATTCATAAAAATGTTATTATATCTGGTCTTGTAATAAAATCAAAAACGTGCGAATTTCTGCCTGGCGCCTGCGATAGTACAAAGGGCTCGGATAAACATGGTGTAAGTAACTCATCATAATTAATACATTTAAAAAAATTATTATATTTTCAGAATTTTTAAAACACGAACGTTGAATCCGAATGAGCTCGCTCGAGAAAAGAATAACAGCGCCGCGACACGGAGTGTTTTCAATTCATTATCTCAAAAACAAAAATTTCATTAGCCCAGAGATTTCCTTTTTAAATTTAATTATTCATATTTAAATTAAACAAAATATAATAGAGGGCCGACGAGTAAAAAAGCGGCTTTATCGTATCATATTTTATTAACCGAATTTATAATTCTACACCGATTCGAGCAAATCCTGGACGAGGGGGCCGGGCGGCGGCACGATCCCAGGAAAAATATTTATGAATGCCAAGCAGAAAAATCCACAATAATATTTCAGGGTGGACGTCCGGTCTTTACTTGCCCTCACCGATCTATTTAAAAAAGAGGCCCGGAAGGACAAAAGGGCTGCGGGATCGTAAAAAAACTGGACACGTATACAGGTTAGGGCCGCGGTCGCTTTGTCTGATTCTTATTTTTTACCGAATCGGAACGTTTTCGGCGTTTTTATCGGTTTTTGTTCCGGAGACACTCGCCCTCCGCCCGCGCTCGCGTTTGTTCTAATGTGACGCCGTTTTATATTTTATATGATATTTTTTAGTTGCTTGATAAATGTTGACCCAACTCTTTTGCTTTGTTATATTTTTCTCTTGGGTTCACCCGTCCTTACTGATATTTGCTTGAATACACACGTTTTATTCTTTTGTTATAATAAATTTAAGAAATTATCTCTTTAACCTTGCTACATACGTAAACAGATATCTTTCATGTGTGTTTTTAATTTTCATTTCAAATGAAAACATTAGTTCTTGTAAGGTCAATGGTACGATGCTTATATATGTACATAGAGTCTTTTAATACTTCAAAGAGGTTTGTTTGGAATTTTAACAGCGTTTGAAGAATTTGAAAGTTAACATTATTATTATATGTTATTTAATTTCTTTTTAAAGTTGGAGTGGCAGACATTCACTTACGGCCACTTTGCAAGTTTCTTATCACTATTTCTACTGTCCAGTCCGATGGAATACCTAATTAATATATAATACAAATAGCTGTGCCCGCAGTTTTATCTGAATGCAATTTATAGACTTTTTTTTATTCTAATGTTTAAGCTATGTTATGCAATGTTTCATCAAAATCCCTTCAGTAGATTATCTATCCATACTAACAAACTTTCGCTTTTATAATATTGATAAGATATAATATATATTATATATATAATATTGACCGTAGTGGTTTATGCTCGCAATGAAATGTTTCAGTTATGTAAATTAATACGTACAAATATATAAAAACATATTATGTACAAGGAAACAATGGGCGGCTTTATCGCTAAATAGCGATCTCTTATAGATTTAGGTGTGGTTTCCATTTTGTATTATGATAAGCTTTACTTAAATTTATGTGCTTTTATTTGTTCTATTTGGAAAGTTATTAACTATGCTATTCCTAATACTAGGGTGAACAGGTTCGAAGTTGCGAGCATAGTTATATAATATGCTTCCAATATTTTTTATGCATGAAATCAATATAATTTTAATTTGATATATATTTCGCTTTTCTTGCTCTCTACAAATAATAATAATCTCAGAACAATCCGCACAGCGCTATCTAGTCACAAGTTAAGGTAGCTAAAGCTTGTGTTATGGGTACTAGATAACTGATACAAATATATAGATTTCGTAATTACATACATATTATACATAGAAAACATACATACCGATACAAACAATCATTCTCATGAATAGAAAAGTTTGTGCCGTGCCAGGAATCGAACCCGCGACCATGGGAAGTAAGGCGGTGTACTTTTTTTTAGGGAATGATATTGGAATGGTGCCGTCTGCGCTAACGGTTTACGCTGGAGGGGCACCAGTGGAGGGTGATAGGATGAACATGAAGTCAGATCAGTGACAATCATCACCGGGAATGTATCACGATGGTTTCCAGGGTGAACCGCGTGGAGGTCGACCTGACATGGTACATTGCTAGCAATGGGGTCATTGGTCCACATTCCTAACAATCCTCAACCCCCAGGCGGCATACTAAGCAATATTTGGTTTTGTGTTTCTGTTTGACTATATGAAACTCACTGACCAATAGTTCATATTTGCATGCCAAAATTAGGACCAATTAGCATACTGTATGAACGATACAGTGATGTAAACCCTATTCGTTGCAATGCGATTAGCATGCTCAATTGGACGTGTAGCAAGCACGCGTTACAGAAATTGGAGCGCACTATTGGGAATGTGTAGGGTTGTCACTACCACTTATTGTTTACTACCTGTGCCCGCGGTTTCACGCGCGTGAAATTTATAGCCTATATGTTATTCTAATATATATCGAAGTAACTTAATTAAGATAAGAAATTCCTTGTTTTTTAGTTTTATTTTTACTTATAGAAGAGGCAAAGAATCTAAGCCCAAAATCCGTTATGTTCGTATCATTTTTGGGAAATTTTGTGTTTTTAAATATGTTTTTTTTTTATTTATTTGGTTACCAACAAGGTTTACACCAACATAATTATATATAATTATAGGCAACTACGATATTTATATGACTTTGTCCTTACAATTAACAAAACTAAAGACTTTAGAATTTTACTTTTTAAGAAAATATTACGCTAAAACTTATAATATTATTGATGTTTAATTTTATTAATATATAAACACGAAAGTTTGTGAATATGGATGGATGTTTGTTACTCTTTCACGCAAAAACTACTAAACGGATTTTGATTAAACTTTACAGTAATATAGCTTATATATCAGAATAACATATAGGCTATAAAGTTAGTGCGGCTGAAACCGCGATCACAGCTGGTTTAAATATAAAATGCATCGCATTATAACGTAACATTTAACCTAACCAAAGTTAAAAGTAATATTTATTACGACATTGTCTTTCTTCAGTCGGCGTAACCCTAACTTATAAATCAGGGCTTGCACAAAACCAACTTGGGAACGCACGATTAATCCCAACCGAATGTTTACCGGAGAGCGTTAAAAAAACAAAAATGGCCGCCCGTAATCAAATTATTAGCGAAGCCACGGCCACGTAAGGGAACCGCGAGACCTTCCCGCGTATTTATCACATGGAATAATGAATGCCCTTTTTTCGGCCGATAATGGCGGATCGCCGAACACCTGGACACTGGGAGGGTTTATGATCTTCTCGGTCACGGAAACACCGAGACGATGTATTGTCTATAGGTTTTTTTTATTACTATATCTATTATATATCCTTTGTAAATGATTGTAAATTTGAATTATCATTATCATTACATAGTATAAAACAAAGTCGCTGTCTGTCTCTACGTATACTTAAATCTTTAAAACACTGAGACGATATGTCTATAGGTTTTATTTATTACTATTTCTATTATATCGCATTTGTAAATGATTGTAAATTTGAATTATCATTATCATCATTACATAGTATAAAACCCTGTCACTGTCTGTCCCTATGTATGCTTTAAAACTACGCAACGGATTTTGAAGCGGTTTTTTAATAGATAGAGTGATTCAAGAGAAAGGTTTATATATATAATACACATACATGTAGTACACCAGTGCGAAGCCGGGGCGAGTATCTAGTAATTTATATTTATCATATGGAATAATGAATGGTAGCCTTTTTTCGGCCGATAATGGCGGATGGTCAAACACCTGGACACTGGTTGGTAGGGGAGGGTATACGATCTTCTCGGTCACGGAAACATCGACACGATATGTCTATAGAATTTATTATTACTATATCATTTATAAATGATTGTAAATTTGAATTACAATTGACAAATTGATATGTACATCGAAATATTACTCAAGTGTTTATTACGACGTCTATTATATCTCCTTTGTAAATAATTGTAAAATTGCAGTATAATTGACAAATTGATATATACATCGAAATATTAATCAAGTTTTTATTGCTATATCTATTATATCTACTTTGTAAGTTTGAATCATTTATAAATTTGAATTATATAATTAAGTTTAATTACAAAGCTTCAATTTACATGTCATTTACGTGGCGAACAGTCAGTACTAGGCTTCTGAACTCTATTCAATTCCTGATGATGCTTTGATCACAATCATATGTTGCGATATAGGTGTAGATTAAATATTGAAATTAGAGAAGGTCGAACGGTAGTCAGGTTTCCGCATTATGTTTTGTGATTTCACACCTGCTAATTGTAGAGGAATTAAACAAAATAATGTATTTTTTTCTGTTTATTTCACAGAAGTCACACCCTGGACGAGAGGTTCCTGTACTCTCAGAGTGAGGTACGCCGGGTTCACTGGCACCCGAGCTCGCTGTCACATCTCCTGGTGCTGGTCTCCGATAATACCATCAGGTAAACGCGATGCCAGATGCTGTAAATGCAACTGGAATGATGAACAGTCTTTTCTTTTCGGACTGTTTTAATGTTGTTGGCAGCAGCTGGCTTTACAGCTTCACCGAACGATAGTGGGCGAGTGCAGATGGCACTCCAAACCAATGAAAGGACTTATGAAGCGGCTGAAGGTAACTCCCGCCTGGCAGATACGCTTTTAGTCTTGTTTGTATCGGTCTGGATGGCTTGTGTTCTGACTATATTATGTATGTATGTACAAAACACCAAAATAACATTTTAACCTATGTTGTAACAATTGTCGGTGATCCTAAATCTATACATATAAATAAAATTGCAGTGTCTGTTTGTAATATTGAAATAACCGTTTTATACTACATGCATATAAATATAAATTATGTACATATAAAAATAACATTTTTTACAATTTTTGTCTGTCTGTCTGTTTGTACCGGCTAATCTCTGAAATGGCTCTGAAAGACCTATTTTGAAGAGACTTTTTTGGCAGGTAGCTGATGTAATAAGGAGTAACTTAGGCTACTTTTATTTTAGAAAAATAAAGTTTAATTCCACGCGAACTTAGTCGCGGGAACAGCTAGTCTATAATATGTATATATATCATTTATTTATCTTTGCTTATTTGCAAATAGATGGCGCTGTGTGAATTGTCCTTTAATAATATTATTATTATTTGCAGACTATACAACATTGCTCTGAAAAATGGTCCGAAACTGGTGAAAATCTTCACAATAGGAGCCAAACCGTCAAGTCTACTGGCCGGGAAGACGATCCTCGACAGTTTAGGAGATACCGCAGTGGACTTTACACCGACACCTGACACGGACGCTCTGCTCATCCTGAGGGGTAATGGCGACGTGTATATGATGGAATTTGATTTGGACAGCAAAAGGTAATCCTTACTCCGTACTAATATTATAAATGCGAAAGTAACTCTGTCTGTCTGTCTCGCTTTCACGCCGAAACCACTGAACCGATTTAAATGAAATTTGGTACACAGATAGTCTAGACCCTGACAAAGGACATAGGCTACTTTTTAATGCGAAAAAAGGGTTGCAAGGGGTTGAAAGGTGATATGGAAATATCGTGATTTTACGCGAACGAAGTCGCAGGTGCAGCTAGTCTTCTATACATATATAATATATAAAATTCCCGTGACAGTGTTAGTTGCTATACTTCTCTGCAACGGCCTAACCGATTTTGATGTTATAGCTATACTCAGTAGGTTTTTTTTCGCACTACTCTAATGCTGTTGGCCGCAGCTGGCCTTTACAGCTTCACCGGACGATATGAGTCTGAATATAGGTTGTTGTTATCTATTTCTATACCGCTAACTGATAAGAGTTTCCACTTCCAATTTTTTTGTATAAGTTGGAAAAAAATCTCTCCCGAGGTAGAGATCTCTTTCAGATTGCTCACATTTTTGTATAATTATCTTTATTTATTAATGTTACAAATGCAATAAAGTATATTAAAAAAGTAACTCTGTCTGTCGCGCTTGCACGCCAAAACTACTTAATTTGGGGTTCGGGAATCCCGAGAATGAACCCTAGTTTAGACTATCTGTGTAAAATTTCATTTATTATTATCTTTATTTATTAATTTTACAAGTGCATAAAAGTATATTAAATAAGTAACTATGTATGTCTGTCGCGCTTGCACGCCAAAACTACTTAACCGATTTAAATGTACTAAAACTTAACCGATTTTACACAAAGTCTAGACCTTGGGGAAGGACATAGGGTATATTTAATGCGAATAAAAAATAAAATAAAAATTAGAATGTAAAAATTTGACGTTCATAGGCGGCTAAAATGTCCTACATAAATAAATAATTTTTTGTATTATGAATTTTTTAATTTTTGAAAAAATGGTTGTATGGTTGTGTGTTTAAATGGAGGGATGAAGATTGTATGGATTACGTTATTTTTAAAGCTAGAAGCTTGAAATTCAGGCTGTTGATTAAATATAAATTAATATGATATTCAAAGTTTGTAAAAAAATTACCCATAGAAGGGAAAATAAATTAAGGGATGAAAGTTTGTATGGAAATTCGTCATTCGTCGTCTATTTCACGCGGACGAAATCGCGAGCACAGCTAGTTATTATTATATATATTACTGGCTACTCGCCCCGGCTTCGCACGGGTGTACATTTATTATATATACCTTCCTATATTCCTATTATATAAACCTTCCTCTTGAATCACTCTATCTATTTAAAAAACCGCTTCAAAATCCGTTGCGTAGTTTTAAATATTTAAGCATACATAAGGACGAATAGACAGCGACAGCGACTTTGTTTTATACTATGTAGTGATTGTTAATATTATAAATATATTAGTTTTTTTCTTACCTTCTCCATTTAAACTTTAACTATGCCATTCCATACTCCCCTGCCCGTGTAATTGTGATAAAAAGTATTATAGAATATATATAGAACATATATATTGCATATTTATATTTGACCCAAAAAATTAGTGCTTGTTGGTAGTTTGTATTCACACGTTTTATAAATGTAAACTTACAAGGATTATTTAAAAGAGCAACATACAAGTTTCTTGCTCGTTCTTCTTGTGATAAGACAGCTTTCCGAACGAGTGGTAGATAAAAAACAAATTGTTATGACTATTGAAAAGTGCTTAAATTAAGTTTATTTGAATAAATGATTTTCTATTCTATTCTATAAATATTGTAATTATTCTATGATTAACAGCCTGGGTGGTCAAGCACTTTAGTATACCACCATAATTTAAATTGTCGCTTATTCGATTCCCACACTAGACAAACATTTTTCAAACATCATGCTTATTAAAAAAAATGTTTGTACCCTGCGAAAAATCGAACTGCGACCATCGGAAGTAACCGCTAGACCACCGAGCTCGTCAATATGGTCCTGTCTACTACAATGGTTATTGATGTGTATTGTTGTATGGTTACAGCCTGCAGACGAAGCTATCGGGTCCTTTAGCAATGTACCCACCAGCTGATGACAACTACGGCTCAGAGTCCTGCTCTATAACGGCTTTAGGAGGCGGCGATTCTCCACCACTCGTCGTAGTAGCCACATGCTCAGCAGCGTTGTACCATTGCCTGCTCCTACCCAATGTAAGTTGCATCGTCTCTTTCACACTCACTTCTAATTGTATTAGTTAAAGTAGGACTGCAATATTTTCTATTATTTAATTTCGATAACAATTGCATAGTTGAAGTTACAAGATAGAAGGCATAGCTATATGCTCAGCAGCGTTTTACCATTGTTTCCTCCTACCCAATGTAAGTTGCACCGTCTCTTTCACACTCGCTTCTAGTTGTATTAATTAGAGTAGGACTGCAAATTTTCTTTGCTCTGTCTGTTCGCTTCTATCCTTTAAACTAGCTTTTGCCCGCGGCTTCGCTCGCGTTAATTTATCCCCTTAGGGGTGGAATTTATCAAAATCCTTTCTTAGGGGATGCCTACGTCATAGTAGCTTTATGCATGCAAAGTCTCAGCCCGATCGGTTTAAAATTGACAAAGTTTAATATAATCTTTCATCCCCTATTTTATTCCTTTGGAGGTAGAATTAATCAAAATCCTTTCTTAGCGGATGCCTACGTCATAACATCTACCTGCATGCCAAATTTCAGCCCGATCCGTCCAGTGGTTTGGACTGTGCGTTGATAGATCACCTTTGAGTTATATATATTTAGATTACATAGTGTGATTCAAGAGAATGGTTTATATATACAAGTATAATACATGTGTGTTATAGTATATAACAAACAGAGAAATTCAAAGATTTGTAATACATCTGTGCGAAACTGAAACGGGTCGTGAGTCGCTATTAAAAAAAACTTATATTTTGTCTCTTTCTGTCAGCCCTCAGATAAAGAAGACGGCGATAGTCACGCCCTCTACGTAGTGGAAGCTGTAGAACTGAACATCTTGCTGAACCCGGATGATGTCAACATGCAGTACTCCTATCCTGTACATTTGTATCCGGTAATGTCATGAATTCATTAAATTGTTGTTAATGTTTTTTTTGTTATTTATTTTTATTTTTTTATTTATTCATTTATTTCAGGCAACTAGGCCCATATTATAAATACCTTATAGACTAACATACATATAATATAATATTTAAAAACTAATACAATGATATTGTCTGTGTGATCACGGCACTGAAGACGGCAATCTGCCACGGTAGCGCCGATATACCACACCTTTCGGCCAGTAGTCTTTCATAAAGGTGGGCAGCAAGTCGGTGGGGACCAGGGCCACAAACGCTTTGAAACTCGCGTTGTGACTCAACTTCAGCTGCGTTACCCTCAATGTCAGGTTACTCTTGGTACGAATATAATCGACATTTATGCCGGATATCGTATGTTATTTTCCGATATCCTAAGTTGTCGCCGAGTGTTTCAAAAATAAAAAAATACTTAGGTTATAACTGTTTTATCAGAAAATGTAGGCGTTTTAACACAATTTCTGTATATATTTTTCAAAATGTACAAAGGTCAAAAAAAAAGAAAATAACATATTACTTATCAGAAAATACAAGCGATTTTACTCAATATCTGTATACATATATCCCACAGTGTACATAGGTCAAAAATAAAAATGCTTAAGTTATAAGTATCTTATCAGAAAATGCAGACGTTCTTACACAATTTCTGTATATATTTCCAGTGTACAAACAATACATACGCGTGTATGCACGCCGGTGGAGTCCACACAGTCACGCTGCCACTACTAGCTCATCTCAGGGATTACGCTTTAGCCACAGAAGGTATATATTTCTGTACACACATACATATACATACAAAAATATGTACATACATTTTTTTTAGTTGATAATGGAATGGTGCACCCGCCTGCGCTAACGGTTTACGCTGGCGGGGCACCAGTGGAGGATGATAAGATGAACATGAGGTCAGATCAGTTAGCCCATCGTGACAAATTCACCAGGAAGTTATCACGATGTTTTCCAGGGGGAACAACCTGACATGGTACATTGCTAGTAATGGGGTCATGAGTCCACACCTTAACCCCTGTACATACGTATAAGATGAGCATGAGGTCAGGTCCTCTAAAACATTGTGGCAAGTTCACCAAAACGACGATTTATCACGATGGTTTCCAGACCGAAACGCCTGGAGGTCAACCTGATACATTGATAGCAATGGGTTTATTAATTAGATCACATTACTAATAATCCTATTTTCACTCCACACATATTAGTGTATCTGACAGTTTCGGTGGTGTAGTGGTTTACTTCCGAGTTCGATTCCTCGCACGGTACAAATATTTCTATTAATGAATATTGTTGTTTGTATAGGTCTCGGTGTTTTCTATATACATTATGTATTTATAAAAAACTGATTCTAAATATTTTTATCAATTGTCTATTACTCATAATACAAGTTCTGCTTAGCTTGACATGAGCTGATAAAAAACTCAGCTCTAATACTTTTCAAATGAGCTTGTACATGATTATAGAAATACAGATAAATTCAGAAAACAATTCAAAATTGTTTTATACATCCTGTCATTGATTTTTATATAACGTTTAGAATTTCAATTTAATAATAAAAACAGATTCGAACACTAAACTAAACCCAGACGTTATTAAATAATGACATCTTAATACAATTCATTTTACAGATGATTCAGAAACAGTGCTATCAGCAATATGTTCGAAATCAAGTACCGCTCGCCACCTGGTGTGTACAAGCGCAGTGAGCGGTGCGGGCGATGCGAGCGGTACGAGCGGAGTGAGCGGTACGAGCGGAGCGAGCGGTTTGAGCGGTTCGAGCGATATAAGCGAAGCGAACGCTCGCTTCCGTCCGCCCGTAGCGCTCGCTCTGACTCCTCCCCCACTGCCAGCGTTACTCATACTCTGCGATGATGCAGTTTTGCTCACTAGGTATGTATTAAATAAATAATCTTATATATCAAATTTTAGTTACCATACTCCTCCGAAACGCGTGACCGATTTCTATGAAAGTTTATATATACATATTCAGTGGGTCTGAGAATCGACTACTGTCTATTATTCTTACCCCTATTTTTTTATTTGTTTATAATTTATAATGTTGCATTAAAAATATATATAACCCTAAATATTCACCCTTCTATCACTAGCCTCTATTTTTAATAGTGATTTTAATTTATACGGCAAAACAACGTTTCCTAAACAGACAAGCAGCTAGGAATTTATATAATTTATATAATACGCCGCTTACTAACTTCTCAGTTTGCCTTATGGTTGACTGGTAGAGAACGCCCTTAGGTGTTAAGTTAGCCATATGTATATAGCCACATTTATATATTGTAATTGTGCATTAAAGTTTAAATAAATAAATAAATAATATAATAATTAGAACTAGTGGTCGAACAAAGGTCAAAATTAGTTCATAATTAATTTTTAAATTTCTAAGTGTAATTTTGAACATTATTAAGGTACTATTGTCAATGACTATTTCTATACGAGAGCGTATCAAATACGTAATAATGTATGTAAATGTTTTATTATTGATTTAATGTATTTTTATATATAATTAAAAAATATTAGCATTCTGCACTCCTTCTCTATATACACTATAAGTGTTCGAAATAAAAAAAAATCGTATCCACCGTCCACGCAATTTTCGTAAAAAAGTGTACAAAATTTTTACTCGATGGATTTATATCACTCATCGGCGACCAAACCGCGACAGCCGATGAGTCAACACTAGGCTTCCGAGCTGTACCCGAACTCTAATTAACGCCTGATGATGCCTCGTTCAGAGGCGACACACGTGTCGCGATATGGGTGTAGACTCAGTAACGGTCGGAATTGGAGAAGGCCACTGGAGAAGGTCGTAGCGCTGGTCAGGTTTCCACACCGAATATTCGTAGTCTCACACATGTTAATTGTAGCTGAATTAAACAAAATAGTATAAATCCATCGAGTAGTGAAATGGACTTCCGCAAAATAACACCTAATTCGATTAAATATATACAAAGTTTTTACTTCACGTATTAATATTATAATCATATCTGATAATTTCTCTGCACAACCTGTGGTTGACTGGTAGAAAATGCCGTAAGGCGTTAAGTCCGCCATATGTACTTTTACCTTGGTATTTTGTGCATTGAAGTTATATAAATAAATAAATAATTCTGACAATTCACACAGCCCCATCTAGTCCCAAGCTAATGTAAATAGATAGATTACTAGATATAGATTTTATTTTGTAAATACACACAATATACATAGAAAACACCCAGACCGATACAAACACAAATACACTCATGAATACAAATCTTTGCACCTTGCGAAAAATCGAACCCGCGACCATCGGAAGTAAATCTTAAACCGCTAGACCACCGAGGCCGTCAATAGATTGTCCGAGTTTAGTCCTAAATGCTGAAAAATTATCACTTTTAATTTTTTACTACTTACAATAAATTATTTATAAATGTAATATTTCAGAACTTTAGAACCGTACGATTTAGAAGAGCAGCTGTACAAAGAAATGCAGTTGAAAAATCCAGCGCTGGATCAAGACGACATCAGCACTATATTGAAAGAGGTACGTATGTTACACATGGCAAAATTAGACCTGATCTTATCAACAATCAGATTTTGTAAAGCTGAATAGGAAACGCCACTACACATCCTATGTGGTTGTAGCCCACTCATGCATAAACGAAATATCTCCTTCGAAAAGTTTTCACTCTATCCTGAGGAGATAAAAACCATCGCTTCATATATATATATATATATATATATATATATATATCAGAGATATGTTATTTGAAATATATATATATATATATATATTTATATATCTTATATAATTTAAAAAAAATATTTAAAATTATTAACGATGTCTTCAGCGCCAGAAGGTGTCGTTCACGGCGATCATGCAGGAGATCCTCGCGAGACAAGTGTCGCAGCCGCTGCTGCATGCCGCAGCAGGTCAGGAACCATCACCGCAGGAGACTCTACAGGTAAATAGCATATTCTGCACACGTTGGATCAATATACTTTTTATACTGCGATGATGATGATATTTTCTTGTAAGTTTTAATTATATTGTACACATATAATTGTTCTAAAGATAACGTCCGGCTCGAAGGACCATCACTTTGTTAAACTATTACTATTATTACTATATATATTACTAGCTGATCTGTTTGAATAATATATATTTATATATTGATTGTCACATGCCTAATCCTTGTTAATGTCCTTTATTATTTATATAGAACAACATTAATTTAATAAAGCAACATACTAGTTTCTCACTCATTCTCACTTGTGATGAGACTGCGGTCCAAAATAGTGGTAGAATAAAAAAAATATGAGTACTCAAAGAGCTTAAATGAAGTTTATTTGTATAAAGAATATTTATATTTCTATTTCAGCTGCTGAGTCAAGCGCTAGTGCGGCTGCGAGGTGAATACATGTGCCGACAACAGCGGGCCGCCGCCGCTGCAGGCAGGAAACTTGCAGCGCTTACAGCGCTTGCTGAACAACATACCACGTGGCTTGCAGATTTACAGGTACACTCAGCTATAATAATATTAATATATAAATCACTAGCTTTTTTTTATACTACTATGGTGGCAAACAAGCATATGGCCCCGTCTGATGGTAAATGGTTAACCATGGCTATGGACACCTGAAACAACAGGGGTGTGACGTGCCCGTTGCCGACCCTTAACAAACCTTAATATACCCTTCTTGAAAAACCCCTTGCTGTACTCTCATAAGAAAACCTCGGAAAGTTCATTTCACAATCTAATTGTACGCGGGAGGAAGCTCCTCTGAAACCGCACTGTCCGAGACCACTTAGTTTCCAGCGTGTAGGAATGAATTCCCTGTCGATGGCGAGCGGTGCGATGGCCACCTTTTAGGCCGTATGCAATCAATCTCACAACCCTAAAAATCAAAACAAAATCAACAGAGATGGAAAGGCTAGAAATACCGTTGGCTGTTCATGTGTGATTATCAAAGATTTCGGTGAGGAGACACCAGCGCTGGACGTGCCTAAAGACTATATTAAGTCCTTAAGCTAATCTAGATGTTTAAGTTAAATTTAAAATAATAATAAAAAAATCCTCCTATAGTAAGAGAATAACGACTGCATGCAACTGAAATGAGAATGTTGAGGTGGATGTGTGGTGTGACAAGAATAGATAAGATAAAGAATGAATACATTAGAGGAAGTATGAAAGTGGCACCGGTGTCAGAGAGGTTGAAGAGTAATCGTCTATCATGGTATATGTAATGCGTAGAGGATAATATTTTAAGAAAGATGTTACAAATGAATGAGGATGGTTATAAGGGCAGAGGAAGGCCGAAAAAGAGATGGATGGACTGTGTGAAAGATGATATGGTAAGAAAGGAAGTAAATAACGCGATGACTGCGAACAGGGATGAATGGAAGAGAAAAACATATTACGTCGACCACAAATAAATGGGATAAATTTTTTTTTGCTTAATGAATTTTTTTGCTAAATAAATATAATAAAATAAATACTACTCCGTATCCTAAACTGTGCTGATTCCTGCTATGTTAATCTCACTGAAGAACACCTAAACAGACTTGAGCGACTTCAAAATCTAAATATATATAACTCAAAGGTGACTGACATAGTGATCTATCAACGCACAGTCCACTGGACGGATCCGGCTGAAATTTGGCATGCAGATAGATGTTATGACGTAGGCATTCGCTAAGAAAGGATTTTGATTAATTCTACCCCCAAAGGGATAAAATAGGGGATGAAAGTTTGTATGAAACTTTGTCAATTTTAAACTGATCGGGCTGAGACTTTGCATGCATAAAGCTACTATGATGTAGGCATCCCCTAAGAAAGGATTTTGATAAATTACACCCCTAAGGAGATAAATTAACGCGTGCGAAGCCGCGGGCAAAAGCTAGTATGTGTATAAGGTATATACAAGTATTTGGTCTCCGCAAATATGGACATGTTTCTCAGTTTCGCAATAAACTCAAGATTGATATCCATCTTCTCAGGAACTGGTACATACTGTCTCTTCTATATATTCCTCTATATAAAGTTCTTTTTTTATTTTTTTATGCACAATAAAGAGTTGTATCATTATTATTATTTCTTATAGTCAGCCTGATATATTTTTTATCTGTTGCAGGCAGAAGTGAATGATACACAACTAGACTCAACTGTGTTGAAAGAAAAGTGTGCTCTAGCTGAGAAACACCAGGAGGACATAAAGTACAGGTATATAAAAAAAACTTTTAACTCCAGCGGTTTAGCATATATTTATTACATGATCGCCGGTTCAGTGCCTCGCACAGTGCAAACATTTGTATCCATGACTTCATTTTGATAGGATAGTGGTCTCGTCTTTCTGAGGAAGCTTTTAGTCCCTCATTAGATAAGAAGTATTTATGTAGTACTGTCTTTCGTCTCATACATTGGCTGTGGATAACCAGGAAGGAAATTTTTGCTAATCGATGCAGCATATTTAGGGTTTTGTTAAGGCAAAGTATCAGTATAAAGCCGATAATATGAATGATTACTTCCATTTCATATTTGGCGACTATGGCAGGTGTTCAGCGGTGATCCGTCGCCTTCGAGCGGGGTGCGGTCCATCATCAACGGAGCGAACGCTCATACGTGAACTGCAGATGCACCGCGCCCGCGGGGACCAGCTCGGGGAACAACTTCGGCTGCTGCAACATCACGCGCAGCATAAAAGCGTTGAGGTAACTGTATATCCAAATTCAAATTCAATATATCTTTATTCATGTAGGTCACAGACTCTTATAATATGTCAAATCTACCGTCAGTTCGGAATGACATCGAGATGAGAAAAACTGACAAGAAACTCAGCTCGTATTTTTTTCTAATAATAGTGGAACATGTTTATAATAATACACAGTCATTAAAATTCTAATTTGGGAGAATAGAGTGACCGTCAGGATATCCATCAATATATCCATCAGGATATCCACCAGGGTATCCATAAGTATATCCATCCAGAATAGGATATAGATCAGGATTAAGTTATTATTTTAAGATCCGTCATACTGTGCGGACTGGTCTGTTCGGGTTACGAACACTGATTATACTATTTACTTAATAATAGCATATGCTGGTGGTCACTCTATTCTCCCCAATTTGAATTTAAAAATGAATCTGTATTATTGTAAACATGTACAACATTTATTTGAAAAGAATACGAGCTGTGTTTTTTGTAAGTTCTTCTCATCTCGAAATCATTCCGAACTGACGGTAGATTTGACATATCATAAGAGTCTGTAATATACCTACATGAATAAGATGTTCCAGTTTTAGACGATGAGCCATAGTTATACGTTGGTTTATGTTGTAGTAATAAGAAAAAAGACTAGGTAAAACGGAGAAAAATATATATTAATATACTGACAATTAGGAATATTGAAGTATCAAAAAAAAAGAAAGTAATATAAAAACACAAATTTAGAATATAAAATACATATCTGATTAGCCAGTTACAACAGTTTATTATCTGTCTACAGTTAAAGAAATGGCAGGAGGAGTACAAGAAGAAGGATATAGCACTCGGGAAGTCTCACAGCGATACCATATCATCAATACTCCAGCAACAGTCAGTATACCAACATTATAATAATAATATCTTAGGACAATTCACACAACGCCATCTCCTCCCAAGCTACGGAGAGCTCGTGTTATGGGTACTAGGCAACTAAAATAGTATTTATTTATTTTTATAACACAGGGGACAAATAAGCATGCGGCTCACCTGATGGTAAGTGATTATCACCGTCCATGAGCACCCGCTACACCAGGGGAATTACAAGTACGTTGTCAGCGTTAACGTTACAATATCGTATCGGTTAGGAAATACCATTGCTGGAAGATTATTCCACAATGTGGTTGTGTGTGGGAAAAAGTTTCTAGAAAACTGCACTGTGGATAACCGCCATTCATCCAGATTATCAGGATGGTATTTTAGTATTTTATTTTAGTACGGTGGTGAAACTCAGCAGCTGGTATTGATCTGAACAATTCCTCATAACACTCCCCGTGATATATGCGGTAGAAATTGCACAGAGATGCAATATCTCGCCGCAAAGCCAATGGGTCTAGTCTGTCACATAGACGTTGATTACCAATAATTCTGGCTGCTCGGTTCTGAATGCTGGTCAATGGAAATGGCTAGTATTGTGGTGCTCCCGCCCAGAGAGATTTATATACGAAGATTGTCTGGAAAAGACTGCTTAAGCGTTGAGACCACCTTTTAAAAAAATATTATTACAAAAATCTTGAAGTTCTTAAAAATTGGCGCCTAAAATGTCATACGTAAATAAATGATTTTTTATTTGATTTGATTTACCTACGATATGTAGATTGTTTTATTTGTATTTTTTAAAAACTGCAATAACGAGTAATTAATGATTTTTTTTAAATACTTCTACTGGTTGTTTTCTATGTATATTATGTATGTATTTACAGAAAGTAAATTTAAGTTGTGTAGTACATATAACACAAGCTTTGCTTAGCTTGGGACTAGATAGCACTGTTTGAATTTTCCTATAATATTAATATTATGTACTATATATTACTCGTGGTAATTGAGTTTTGTTTTTTCCTATTTTAAAATATTGTTTATTTGTTATAGGACCAGCCAAATTTCCACACTCATCGAGGAGACGAAGCTACTCAAAGATCAACTCAGCATCATATAATCTTTCTGTTTTACATTAATTTAATTTGTTATTAATACATTAATTGGAATCAACACAGTTTTTTCTATTTGTTTATTCACTACCTTTTGCCCGCAGCTTCACTCGCGTTAATTTATCTCCTTAGGAGTGGAATTTATCAAAATCCTTTCTTAGGGGATGCCTACGTCATAGAAGCTTTATGCATGCAAAGTCTCAGACCAATCGGTTTAAAATTGACAAAGTTTCTTCATACAAACTTTCATCCCCTATTTTATCCCCTTGAGGGTAGATTTAATCAAAACTTTCTTAGCGGATGTTCTTACGTCATAACATCTACCTGCATGCCAAATTTCAGCCGGATCTGTCCAGTGGTTTGGGCTGTGTGTTGATAGATCACTATGTCAATCACCTTTGAGTTATATATATTTAGATTTGTTTTCACAGACAGTGGTCCATGCCCTTGTTAATATTTACGTTATTTTAACATTTTATAGTATTGCATACTATATAAATTACAATTAAATTTAAATTAAAACTTATTAAATTAGTGTAAAGAAATTAATACTAAAATAAGAATAAATTAATTTTAAAATGAAACTAAACTAAAACAGTTGTCATCTATGCGTTGCTATTCCAGAAGACTGATTTCAGACTTCAGTCAGTGGTGCAGCGGTTTAGCACACCGCTTTACTTCCGGTAGTTCCGGATTCGATACCTTACACGTTACAAGCATTTGTATTGATTTGTATTGAGCATGATTGTTTATATTGGTATTGGTATTTTGTATGCATATGCAAATGTTTTTTATTACAAAATAGGATTTCTAACAGTTGTCACGTACCTATAACACAAGATCTACTTAGCTGTAAACAGTGAATAGATGGCGCTGTGTGATTTGTACAAGGCTATTCACGTCTTAAAATTCACCCTTCAACCAAAACACATCTCATTAAGCAAGCCAAATAATATGAACTGCCAAAAACCAGTTTTTTTAAATTAAGCCACTGCCCAATATGTTTTTTTCTGAAGTTGTCAATCATACGGCCCATCTGATGGTAAACAGTTACCGTTATCCTAAGGACTCCAAAAACAACAAATGTGTTACGTGCGCATTGGAACCCTTAAAAAACTCTTGTATTTAAGAGTTTTTTAAGGCCTTCTTGTAAAACTTTGCTATAGTCTCTATAGATAACCTCAGTTGTTAAAAAGTGTATTGTAATATAAAATTTAATAAATCTAATAATTAAAACAAACATATCCTTTCAATGTTTTATTGAGATTCGTCACAACATTTGTCATTCAGAATCGAATGACTTCTCAATATTTATAAAATAGGAATGCTGATATATCAGACATAGATTTTATAGTCTTCTAGGACATAACTCTAATACATAGACAAGAAAGAATGTATAAAAAATACATCATATACGTACCTTAATCTATGCATATTATTGGCTCATATTTTTTTTCACAAAAAATACACCATAGACTAATTATTACACGATTTTATACTGTTTAACTAACAGTGCATTGTCATAGACTAAGAATCTAATTTTTAAGTTGTTCCATCTTAATTAGCAGACACTAAGAAATATAATTAAAAAATATGAGCGTAATGGTTACAATATTTTATAGATCTTACATTATACATATATTTTTTAAGAATATGGCAACATTGTACCATCTGGTATGTTGTTATTTTTTATGTAACAGAATTCAAATTCAATCAGTTTCTATTGAGAACTGCAATTACTTTACATAATCAAATCTATAGTAATTGATATAAATCTAAAATTATAACAAAAAAATAAGGATTCTGATGTACTTTCATTGTGATTCCTTAAGTAAAAATAATTGTCAAAACCACCCACATAAATGTCAAAATTATAAAAATGGAAATGAGTTCCTATATTTTTTTACATCTAAGAGGTTTAAGGGTAATGTAGTATTTGGGATACACAATATTTTTGTCCCCATCAATAAAAATATACCAGCCTACATATGCAGTGCACAGCCCTTAAAAAGTGCTGAATGGCAAAACTTACACGCGCCGAAGAATAAACGAGGCCGCTAAGTCACAATTTTAATATAGTAGGTGGACAATTTTTATTGGAATATTGTTAATTTCATATTAAATGTGTAAAATTCTGAATTGTTGTTGCAAGTGTGGTTTGTATTACGAGTTCTGAGGTACATTCGTTCAAACATCGAACGGTGTTACACCAATTTTAGTTAATAAGAATTTCTGTAGTACTTCATTACAAAATTTAAGTTCAAAATCTTTTGTTATGACCATTGGATGCGACTACTGTAATTAACCACTTAATAAATATATATAAATACAATAATTTCAGATAAAATATCATTTTATAAAACAGCTTAAATTGAATAATTATATCCTTTTGAGTCTCATTTTAAAACTTTCTTAGCAGTCACTTTATCTTAAACATATTAAATATAAGCTCTCAAACATCGCTGAGCGGGCCCCAAAACATTTTGGACACCTTAGTCTCGTCTTCTGTGATGAAGTAATCCTTTCCGAGCTTCACAAATTCTTTCATTGACAATTTGCCGTCCTGGAAAGAAATCAAGCTAGTTTTAATATGTTTTTTATATGAATGTGGATGGATGGAAAGGAAGAGGACGCTCTAAAAAAGATGGATGGATTGTGTGAAAGATGATATGGAAGAATATTTGAGAAGAAAATTTGAATTTAAATGAATCTGTATTATTATAAACATTTATTTGAAAAGAATACGAGATGAGTTTCTTGTCAGTTCTTCTCATCTCGAAATCATTCTGAACTGACGGTAGATTTGACATATCATAAAATTCTGTAATAGACCTACATGAATAAAGAAATTTTGAATTTGCATAAAAGGAGAGTGTGCTCAGAGATCAGTGGAAGAGGATGACATACTGTGCTGACCACAAATAAGGGGATAAACGCAAGGCAATGATAATGAGTTTTAATATTTTTTTTATACTAGAATGATGATGTAAACAAGCATATGTACGATCCATCTGAGTGTAAAACACGAACGTAGCACTAAAACTAATATTGGTAAAATATATAGGTTTAGTACACCGCTTCCCGATGGTCGCGGGTTCGATTCCTCGCACGATGCAAACATTTATATTCAATTAATATCAAACATTAATTGTTATTTAATAAACATGTTTGTATATGAATCAACTCACAAATCCTTTTATATATTTAGCATATTTTAGCCATTATTAAGAACGTGAAATAAAGTTTTTTATATTAATATTTTTTCCCTCCAACTCAATATTCAATTGAAAAAAAAATAGCAAGAAATACAACATTTTTTTTTAATGTAATAATATTTTTTTCCTCTAGTTCAGTGTTCAATTAAAAATAATATATATAGCCAGAAATACAACTGACTTTCTGTTTAAAAGCCACATTATTTTATTACAAACAATTCCTTCGAACGCGCTAACAGTAAGAGTAGGTCACTTACACCGTTGGTATCAATAACTGCAAACGCCACAGCAGCGTGTTCATTGTCGAGACCCAAGCACTCGAAGAACAACTTGAACTCCTTTACGGATATGTAGCCTGACTTGTCTTTGTCTACAGCCTGTAACCATAGATAACATAAAGTTTTTAGTGGAAAGGTCATAGTAATGTGGACTAATAACCCTATTTCTAGCAATGTACCATATCAGGTTGATATTTTTACCCCTGGATACCATCGTAATAAATTTCTGCTGAATTTCTCACGATAGTCTATCTGATTTGACTTCACGTTCATCTTATTATCCTCCACTGGTGCCCCGCCAGCGTATAGCGTTAGCACAGGCGGGTGCACCATTCCATTATATTTTTAAAAGTAACGTACAGTTGCAATACTTATCGCAAGTCTGAGCAAGACCGCAGCTCACAAAATTACTGGCCTGTACCGGTTTAATAAGTTATCGCAACTTTGACAAGATATACTTTATAACTATATCATATACAAGAGAATATACAAACTAGACTATGATACAAGAGAAAATGCAAATTGGATTCTCGATACCTATCCTTGTTATTGTAAAAAGTGATAAAAATGTTTATTTTTTGGTGTAATAGGCAGTGGAATAGTATAGCCAATGCAATGAATATATTGTAATTAGGTGTAAAATAGTGACCTTGTAACAAATAATGAAAAAATATTTAATAAACGAACCCAATAAAAGCCAAATAAAAATTATTAGTTTAATCGTTCTAGCTTCAAAAATGTTGAATATCTACAATATACAATCTAAATATATATAACTCATAGGTGACTGACATAGTGATCTATCAACGCACAGCCCAAACCACTTGATGGATCGAGCTGAAATTTGGCATGCAGGTAGATGTTATGACGTAGGCATCCGCTAAGAAAGGATTTTGATGAATTCCACCGCTAAGAGCATAAATTAACTCGAGCGAAGCTGCGGACAAAAGCTAGTATCTTATATAAATCGGTTCAGTAGTTTTGGCGAAAAAGCGAGACAGACAGACAGAGTTAGTATCGCATTTATAATATTACTATGGATGAACTGGAAATCTTACTTTGAACAGATACGGCAGCCAACGGTGCGCCTTTTTCTTCAGTGTTTTGTCATTGAGTACGTGATGCATATCTTCCAAATACTGTTCCACTGTCACGAAGTTGTACGGGTCGACTGCACCCCACTGCTCCTCCCAAGTTAACTGAAACAACCATTCATTCATTATTACTTCGCTTGTTTATTATTGCAGCGATTAGAAAATTTAATTAATATTATTAAATACTATCTGAGACCGCAAACTTTCTTTAAAAAATAGGGGTTAATGGTAGAAGGGTGAAAATTTTGGAAAAAAATTTGGGAAAATTGTTTGTATTTTTTGTCCAAAAAATGTTAGGGGACCCCTTATCATTTAGGGGTATGAAAAATAGATAACAGCCCATTCTCAGACCTACATATATTTATATGCATATAAATTTTCAGAAAAATCAGTCAAGCCTTTTCGGAGGAGTATGGTAACTAACATTGTGTCACGAGAATTTTATATATGTGTTTGAGTTCACATCAATATTGTAGAAAAAAATCCGATATTTTAAAAAGATATTAAAAGTAGGTAGTTTGTGTTTAGTACTAATGAAGTACCCAATGTAAAGATTATTACAAATATTGCAAATAGCGCCATCTAGTATTTATAGATCAACCTACTACACTGACTTCGGTCTATAAACACGGAGGTCGGTAGGAGGTTAATAATCCTCTATCGTTGGGTGAGCCGCGGTATTCAGGCGACGAGCGTAGAGCGTGCCGGTTGTGTTTTAGATACTAACTAATAAAGTGAATGGTATTAGAAATAGGTTTATCCCGGTCTTAGTTGGCCCTGGGGGGAAGCTACAAGTAGTGAAGGTGAGTGTTAAATGCATCCTAAAGGGGCCTCTTAAACCTACACCCGTGTCACAAGTCACGGGCGCGGTTTCCCTTGCGGTAGCTGGCCTCAAAGCCTAAGTTGTTATCATTAATTAGTGCTTCTTACAATTATAAAGATAGATTTTGTAGATATAGATATTTACTTTGTTACATCCAAAGATAATAAAGTAAACACACATAAATACATTTCAGAACATAGCAAACTAAATCGCGAGCAATTAGTATTAGAATATTATCTTATTTGTGATATCATCATCTGCTTCTTCCTTATCCCATTTATTTGGGGTTGGCGTAATATGTTTTTCTCTTCCATTCATCCCTGTTCGCAGTCATCTCGTTATTTGCTTCCATTCTTAGCATATCATCTTTCATACAGTCCATCCATCTCTTTTTCGGCCTTCATCTGTCCTTATAACCATCCACATTCACATGTAACACCTTCTATCACCTAACATCTGTCATCATTACTTACCTTAATAATGTTGGAAAAGTCTTCGGCCTGTTGCTGATCCAGGTGGCCCAAAGACTTGAACCTCTCGGAAAACAGCACGAAGTCATTGAATGAGATCAGTCCGTCCTTGTCTATGTCGAGGATGTTGTGGACGGTTCGCATCTTGCGTCTCCAGAACTCCGACTGTAAAGTAAACAACAAATTTTAGATGAAGATTTTACTTTATGAGATTGCGTATCAGAGTTGTTTTTTTTTAATTAAGTAATAGGTATACCTTTCTTAATTAGGATTATTTCTTTAATTATCTTTCTTTTTGGCGACAACATTTGGACCTGTATGTTTTTATATGTCTAATTATTCCCGCGTTTTTTTTATACACTGCTTATTTTACACTGCTCAGCAGAGTTGTGTTCTGGCTGAGAACTGTTAGAAATACATATATACTTTTTTTAAATACATATAATATACTAGCTACTCGCCCCGGCTTTCCAGGGGTGTAGATGTATTATATAATAAACGTTCCTCTTGAATCACTCTATCTATTAAAAAAACCGCTTTAAAATCCGTTGCGTAGATTTAAAGATTTAAGTATACATAGGGACAGACAATAAGAGCGACTTTATTTTATACTATGTAATGTTTATAGAAAACACCCAGATCAATATAGATAATCATACTCGTGAATACAAATGCTGCATGTGCATACAAACATTTGTATTCATAAGTATGATTATTTCTTTAAGTCTGAGTGGTGGTCCGAGTCTTTTATCACTTGTAGTACCTACACAAATAACTATGCTCAGTTTGATACTAGATGATGCTGCGCGAATTATCCTGGGTTATCAATAACTGTATGCTTATATATTTACCCTATCAAAACCCTTGCATTCGGTATCAGAATCGGAATCGCTGTCGGACTGCTGTTTCCTCCTGTCCTCCTCGGGCCGACCGTGCTGCTTGCTGTAGTTCCTCCTCAAACTGGACACCTGCTCTGCCAACTCATACTCCCTCTGCTTCTCTTGTAGGAAGCAGACGCTCCCATTGCATACTGGCTTAGTGTGGATTAGCTGGAAATAAAAAAAAAACAAGGTTCAGGTATGAGGTAACCATCATTCAAAATCATATATTCATGTAGAACCTTGTAAAACGTCAAGTTTATTGTATTAATTGTTTTTTCTTAGATGTTAGTAAGATCGTAGGTAAACTCGTAAATGGCAGTTAAACTTTATGACTAGAAAGTAGTAGATTTGTCATATCATAAGACTTTGTAATAGGTCCACACCATCATAGATATTATAATTTCATTTGATTTGAAAAAACATTCTATTCAATTCAAACAAACATTACAAATAACCAAACGAGTTTAAAATTTAACACGCAGCTATAAGAATGTATCCATTTTTTACTGGAATTACCTTTAAATAAATTCAAAACGGAAGGGATTGTTAGTAATGTGGATTCTCGACACCATTGCTAGCAATGTACCATGTCAGGTTGACCTCCACGTGGTTTCCCCTGGAAACCATCGTGATAAATTCCAAATGAATTTATCACTATGGGCTAACTGACCTGACCTCATTCTCATCTTATCATCTTCCACTGGTGCCCCGCCAGCGTAAACCGTTAGCGCAGGCAGGTGCACCATTTCAATATCATATACAAAAAAAAAGTCTATTCGGAAAATTTACTCTTTCCAGAGAAGATAAAAACCATACCTCCTATGAACACCCTTCAATTCTTATCCCTGACGGGCCTAGGTAGCGAACTCTGAAAAAGGTCGAGCACAATAGATCTATGTAGGTCGCAGTGCTACAGGTCCAAGCACCTGACAATAACCCTATTTTTTTTTTATCATAAAGTCTACCTACCTACCTAAGTAATTAAATACTTTTTTACTTAATCCGTTGACAAATATCCTTCCTCTTTACAATATAACTTTATAAATAGATAGATATGTATAATATACCAAGAATAAAATCAGTTGACATAGAAATCAACATCAGTGCGTTTTGCTTCACGATAACCGAGGTTAATGACCTCATTATGCACAGTGCACATGTGTGCAATCCAAACGTGCATGTATAGGCTAAGTACACACTGCACACAGCTGCAATCGCTTACTCGTTGCAGAGTTGGCACAGAAATAATTTCATTAATTCATTACTTCATTATACTTACATACTTTTTTTTCGGACTACTCTACTGCTGTTGGCCGCAGCTGGCCTTTACAGCGAGCAAGTGCAGATGGCACTCCAAAGACACGGAAGGAGTTATGGAGCAGCTGAAGGCAAACTCCCACCTGACGGATATGACTTTAGTCTAAGGACAATTCTAAGGAATCGAATCACGGCTCAGGACATCCTAATTTCGATCCCCATTTGTCACGAGCTGACTGGCTGATAAGACTGGCACGGTTAATAATTTAAATAATGTATATTAAACTCGCTCCCTATCGTCCGGTGAATTTATAAAGGCCAGCTGCGGCCAACAGCATTAGAGGAATCCGAAAACAAAACTACGGACGAAATTTATTTACAAGTATTAAGTAAAAAAAAAATTTTAATCAAGGAGTTTTTTTTACTGAATAATAAACGTTGTAGCTTAATTTAGCAGTTATTATTAGTATTAATATCATTATATTTATTTTATTATTAGTACTGGAATGGTTATTATTATTTTAAACTAGCTGTACTCTTCGTCCGCGTGGAAATTAACTTTATTTTTCTAAAATAAAAGATTTTTTGAATAAAAGTAGCCTAAGTTACTCCTTATTACATCAGGTACCTGCTAAAAAATATCTCGTCAAAATCGGTCAAGTCATTTCAAAAAAAATTTGCCGGAAGATACAGACAGACAGAGAAAAATTTTAAAAAATGTTATTTTGGTGTATTTACTATATTATATTCATGTGCATGTAGTAAATAATGGTTATTTCAATATTACAAACGAGACACTCCAATTTTATTTATATGTATAGAACTTTTTTGTAGATTTATATAATAATATTGTTTTTCAAATTCGACACAATACTTAAAGTTAAGAATAAATAAATTTACCATTATATGATCCATTCTTTGCCATTCCAATCACAAAAATATCCCTCTAGTGCTGTCACTTTAGAAAATCGTCGTAGCACTTATCAAATAAAAGAGCCGTGAACTGAATCATTTGCAAGGTTGGCGGATGGTCGATTTTATTTGCGTACCCACATCACTGGGGTTGACGAAATTGCTATCTTGAATTTATAATAGAGATGCAACAAGGTTATTTCGTATGCAGGCTGACATTTGATAGATAAAATAATAATATATATGGTCTCGTGCTTTAGCAATTTAGCACGCACCGGTTTACTTCCGATAATTGCGGGTTCGATCCTCGCACGGTGTAATTGTATTCATGAGTGTGATTAGTTGAACTGGTCTGTGTATTTACTATGTATGTATATATAAAAATGTATCTTCGTGTAAGTTAGTTTTCACACGTAGCACAAGCCCTAGGCTTGGGTCTAGATGGTGTTGTGTAAATTGTCCACGGATATTAATTATTAATAGAAATAATCTTTATTAAAATAAACTTAATACAAGCACTTTTTAATAGTCATTTAATAATAGTGATATAAATATCACTATTATTATATTCTACCACTCATTCGGAACGCAGACTCGTCAAGAAGATTGAGCAAGAAACTTGTGTGCTGCTCTTTTGAATAGATTTCATTTAAAATAGCGACACGCGGTAATCAACATAGAAACTGCTACACACTCATTCTTAGTGCAATCAGATAATATTGTCAGCGCTATGAATATTAAGTTTCTTACTACAAAAACCCCAAAAGTAAAAACCCACATTGGGTCACATTACTTTTAGGGTTTTTGTAGTAAAAAAACAACAGTATCTTTATCTCAACCCCAGGGTACGAAGCTATCAACCTACAAAAGGTCGTCGTGTCCACCAGTGGCCTCGGCTGTCGAATGTCAGGATGTATGTCATATGTCAGAGGGCATTGAACTGTGGTCACTATCAGTTTGGGCCCAATTCTGTTGACAACCAGTTATGTTGATTGATAGAGTAATCGTAAAGATAGACATAGAAAGGAAGCAAGCTAATAAGTCATTACTGTAATAATGTAAATATTAGCTAATAGAATATCATTACATAGTATAAAACAAAGTCGCTGTCGCCGTCTGTCCCTATGTATGTTTAAATCTTTAAAACTACGCAAAGAATTTTGAAGCGGTTATTTTAATAGATAGAGTGATTCAAGAGGAAGGTTTATATATGTATATTATACACGAACATTCTCGTGAACACTCGAAATTTTATATGCATATTCAGTAGGTCTGAGAATACATATTTTTCATACCCCTAAGTGATAAGGGATAATTTTTTATAACCATTAAATATATATATATCATTTTTTATCTATATTTTGACACCATTTTCGGTAAAACTGTGTTTGTTGAAAAAACAGCAAGTTCCTTATTTCGCCTATATTTTGTTTTCATATTTGTGGATTGCATAGTGCAAAGTAGATTTGAAAACGATTTTGACGGGATTTTTCTTGTGCTAGAAATAAATTTGATGTAATATGGAGTGATTTTGGCTACTTTTATTCTAGAAAATAAAGTTAAATTCCACGCGGACGTAGTCGCGGGAACAGTTAGTTGAATATATTTTCGAACATATATCATTATAATGACTGTTTGTATAAATGAAACGTAATATTTAAACCGTTTTTTCCATACGTCTGTAAATGCTAGAAAATAAAGTTAAAATCCACGCGGACGAAGTCGCGGGAACAGCTAGTTGAATATATGTATATATATAACTATGCATATATGTATATATTTCGCAGACTTCCATTGGTACACAAAGGACTTCAAGCTATACATTATCGTAGGTGAATATAAAAATATGTTTACAATTCAATACATGCGTTGTAAACAGAAATATATAGGAACTGAATTCTCAAATTTCATCCATTTATTGAAATTATAAACAACTAATTGACCTTGTTACAATTAATATCACGTTCCAATTACACAACTAACAGATTAGTTAATATGTTAATCAGAATCTCTAGTACATATACTATAATTATTATCTTATATATAAAATTATCGTGTCACAGTTTTCGTTCCCATACTCCTCCAAAACGGCTTGATCGATTCTCATGAAATTTTGCGAGCGTATTGAGTAGGTCTGAGAATCTGAGAATCAACATCTATTTTTCATCCCCCTAAATGTTAGGGGTAGTCCACCCCTAAATTTATTTTTTTATTTTAAGGCAAAACGTTTGCCGGGATACCTAGTTGTACTATATATTTATATATTACTAGCTGATCCAACAAACGTTGTTTTGTCATATACATTGAAGTACTAATATCGCTATAAAAAATAGGGGTTGATCGTAAAAGGGTGAAAATTTGCAACTGTATGTATTTTAAAAACATATTTAAAACAATTTTGGGGTGGATTATCGATATCATTGAGTGTTATGAATTAGTGTTGACCGATACTCAGACCTACTCGATATGCAGACTAAATTTTATAAAAACCGATAAAGTCGTTTCGGAGGAGTTTTAAAAAAATACCGACTTAATGGTATCATTCAATATAACTAAAATACTAACTGTGCCCGCGACTTCGTCAGCGTTTAGTCTATTTGCAGTAGTTTCACTGCAATGAGCTTTTTACAAACTTTGAATATCTACTGATACATCCATACCTTTCATCTCCCCTTTCGACCCCTTACAACCATTTTTTCGCACTAACAAGTAGACTATGTCATTTCTCAGGATCTAGACTATCTGTGTACTAAATTTCATAGAAATCGTTAAAGGCGTTTCGGAGGAGTTTGGTAACAAACACCGACTTAATGATTCAATAATTCTCTGTAGATTGCCAGCGTACCTGGATGCACCATTCCATATACATCCATATATAAATGCTTATATAATATTTGTAGTTATCTACCTAAAACCTTGAAATATTGATCGTAAACAAAGAAGACAAATATTGTTTTAATTTTGTTGTTGCTTGCGATTTGGTACCTACCTCGTTCAAGGCAATTCAACAAATTCATTTGATAAAACAATTGGATTGTTTGTTTGTGTACGTGATGTGAATTATACTTTGTATTAGACTACACCAGAATACATAAGATTACATAAATGCAGATTGAAGGTTTTTGAGTCAGTGCCCTTATAGAGTTGCCACTCTGGATCATGCTATAGAACGCGCCTTTTCCGTCAAAACTTTCACAAGTTTTTTTATAAGATTAGGGACACTGCTATCTTGAAGTGTCTCAATTTATTTTGTTATCAGGGTTTCCAACAGAAAAATAATGATAATCCTTGACAGTTCTCACAGAGCTCCAAATTAAGCTGAGCTTAAATTATGGCTGCTATACAAGTAATAGGAATGATTAGATATATATATTTTTTTGTTAATACATGGACAAATACACAGTCATACTCTTGAATAAAATGTTTGCATCGAACCGCCACCATCGTAATTAAACGCACCACCGAGACCATCATATTAAAGATTTTTAGCGGCGGACAGAATCTAACTTACAATCTTTGGAGTTTTAATCGGAGTAGAAAAGCCGCTACGCCACGTCTCCTTTACTAAATATTATTTTATGTAAACAAATAAACAGACAGAGACAAGACAATCGGCTATTATAACCCGGAATGACATGACCGATGTACAATGCAGATAGCGTTAGCAGTTTATCGCAATATAGCACTTAATACATTTAATTAAAGTATTTTTTTATAAAAATAATATTTTGTAGCATAACATAAATTACGAACTATTATAATTAGGTTATCGTTGGTTGCTGTGAGTTTAATTAAAAGAGATAGTTCGTATATGAATTTAAATATTAACTACGACTAACTGTATGTAGATTTAGCCATTTAGTTTTTTTTTATTTTTTTTATTGATGATACTGGAATACTGGAATGGTGCACCCGTCTGCACTAACGGTTTACGCTGGCAAGGCATCAGTGGAAGATGATAAAATAAACACAGGAGCAGGCATGAGTCAGCCTATCTTGGCAAATTCACCAGGAATTTTTCATGGTGGTTTCCAGGGGAAGTGCGGGGAGGTCAATCTGTTATGGTACATTGCAATGGGTTCATTAGCCCACGTTACTAACAATCCCCTTCCCCCCGAGCGATTAAGTATGAAAGTTAAAAATTTATTATCAGATTTCGAGAATCGTTGGGAGTATTGGCCAGTTGCATGAATATTGTATTCAATTTTTTCTCTTTATAATATTAGTAGGTATAGTCTCTGGTTTTAACATAAATCAAAATTTCCTAATTACCTATTAATTTATATCATTATCTATACATTTCAACACCGTAATTTCATTCATACATTTCTATTCTATAATACTTTTCAAGCAGTTTTGGAAGATTTCGCCGTCGCTGCATTTTATGGCTTTAGAAACGTGGATTGATAGTTTTAGAGAAATAAATGAAATAGTTCTCTCTTTGGAATAATCCATCCTTCTTTCAATTACAACAGTTTATTGTATAAAATAAAAATAGTTATCACACTTAGTAACAACGAAATGACTTTAAACTTGATAAATGTTACTTGAATATTTAAACAACTTGCACTTACTCACAGAGTATTTGCGTATATTTGCACAAGAAATTTTACATTATGCATGCATAATATAACATTTCTTGTGCCTCTGTAATGTGCCTGAATGATTTTTTTTTAATTAATAGATGTGGACCATAAACACATTTATATAACAAAGAACTACACATACATAGATATATATTTAGATTATTTACATAACTTAATTGTACAACTAGGAACCTAAAATTAAAAAGTTTAATAAATATAAAAAATACAAATAAATTGAAATTAAATTATGTCTATGATTATCAATTAATTGTGTAGATAAATAGGTTGAAAGCCCTAACCATAACTCCATAAGGCATTTTGATATTAATTTTACACTACATTTTAATTTCAATTTAATCAGTCATGATATTAACAGTAATCGATTAATTAATAATCGTGTTTTTATAATGGGCTGCACAGACACCGATTTACCGATCCCGTTTCTGAACCACGTTTTTACTTTATAAATAAAAAAACAAGACTACAATGGGGCAACGGGCGCAACGCGTGGGTAACTTGACTATGCATCTTGCTTTCTTCCATCTTTAAGTATTAATAGCAAATTAACAACAAAAATGGCGCTGTCGGTATTACATAGTCAATTTAAAGATTTTATGTTTTTATTAAAAAGTAATGTAGGTATACATTATTTAGCGATAAAGTAAATACATGCTAAATTAATTAATATTGTGATTTAAATTTGAAATCGATAAAATATTCATTAATATTAACTAAAAGTTGCTTTGCAGCAGTATTAAATTTTACCTTCAATTGACTATGGGCACTGGATACGAGAGCTGCACTCCTTTCCAAATTCAAACTAATGGAACGAATTCCCAACCGAACAAGCGTGAGCACCATTATTATTTAATTATTAAATGTCACTTAAATAAATACAAAATATTTAATCTACTTTTTAAATACAAATTCTCACTTATAAACTCTTAGAACACCTTCTCATTTTATAAATGAACACAACATGAACGCTCTACGATATAACCACGCCGCGACTGGTTGCATTTCGAATGGCGGATGATTTTTATGCGCCAGCCCTTGTAGAGGGGACAGTTGTTTTGAACCGGTGGCGTTTGTTTATATTTTTATCTGTAGACAACATTGAGTGTTATCCAAATTTCGACCTTCTCGCTTCGAGCTTGTTTTCAATGTATTAAATTTTGGCATTGAGGTAGGATTCATTTAGGGCAATATTTAAATCATTTGATCGTGATACTAGAGCATGCGGGCGTTCACGTAGGCCCTATAAAACGGCGTTTGGTAATTCCACCCAAATAATATATTGTCTTTGAATATTGCAATTTGGGTTAACGACTTGTCCGATTGACTTGTTGTTATTGATAAAATTAGATTTAAGTTTTTCCTTATTTATTTATAAAACAATTGGTGTTAAGAACGTGTAAGGACGCACGTAGATAGGAATATTGGTGTGTATTATTTAACTATTAGGTAACAAATTGTTTCTTAATCACCCTATTGAAATTAGATTAATTTTATTATCGTAACATTAATGTATTCTTATTTCTAGAAAACATATATTGATAACATTAACTACATTTATGCTAATAACATCAATCGCTAAATATTTTACTTTTTGTTTAACCTATTTCTACATCTAAGCACCGTGCTTATTGCTTTGTAAAATATGTTTCAGTTGAAGGGAGAAATATACAGAGTAAGGAATTGTCTGGAATGACATCAGAAGATACCACGGCTATGATGTACCCATCAGACGTGAGCATTTTCACCAATACTCGTTAATATCAGCAACCAAAACATACCATTTTCTCATAATGAAATTAGTTAGAAGTTCCACAATTTTATATCATCAGGATAGATTGTTATGTTGTTTAGAAATAGAATGTGAGTCTTATAGCAGATTCTACATTCTCTATGGTCCTTCGAGCAGGATCGTTTGTCTAGTACCGGTTGTGTGTTGTTTGGAAAATTGTGACTATGACGGCGGTATAACATATGTTTAGTTATTTATTTATTATTATTTATACTGTGAAAACATTTTAATTTGACATAATATCTAAACGACGTATGAAAGGTCATTTCTGATAATTGTTGGAGATAATGAAAAAGTTAGGTGGTCTTACAGCTAAAATATGTACCTATTACATTTAATAGCCTTAAGAAAGAAGATTGCAAAACTGTTGATTATGTCACTTAATGACAAACAAAATATATTTTAGTCAGAAATTTGTTTTTAGGAAACGCATTTTAACGTTAAAATTTTTTGTCTATGTTTCATTTTTAGTACTAAGTCAGGTCTATAATAATGCATTAATTTAAATTTATGGGTCTTTTATCTATAAGGTAGACTTTATAAAAGTTTGTAATACTTTATTGTATCTACAATAAAGTTTAGTATCTTTACATAGTCTAAAATGGAGTCGCTTCCGAAGAAAGAAAGAAAGAAAGAAAGAAAAAAAGAAAGAAAGAAAGAAAGAAAGAAAAATATTTTATTCAGTGCAATGTAAAAAATACAATATAAACAACAAACGAAAAAAAGAGCAAATAAAAGGCAGTACGCTTAAATCTTTTAAACTACGCAACGGATTTTAATGCAATTTTTTGCAATAGATAGAGTTATTCAAGAGGAAGGTTTATATGTATAATACATGTACACTTGTGAAAAGCCGGGGCTGGTAGCTAGTATAAGGATACAATGACCATATTAATTCGATTCGTACAATGGCTGACTTATCCCAAAAGACGGATATAAATAAAGTCGTCTTCCTGAACAGGTACTTCAGTCTCACCTATTTCAGCCGTCAATCAGCTTGTTTTGTAATCTTCGTTTTGGTTGAAGGTGAGATAAGGTAGTGAATTTACAAGATATGGACTAATAACAATACTTCCGGTATAGCTACGCATGTATGGTCACGGGGGATACATAATAACGTGATTCTGCTCACGTATATAGACTAACATTGCTAACATAACAGAAATAATACAATTTACAATAAGACACTTACCATCAAGTTAGTCATTAGCTACTCCGTAGTCCTTAGTTCTTTGCCATCCTGCTTAGAAAAATAGCCGTCCATTAAGTGTTAATATAACAATAAAACTAAACAGGAAGCATTAAATCACTGACAGGAAATGCCAAGATTAGTATATTCAAAAGCCCTAATAATGGGCTAGTCAAATCAATACTGCAATAGACTATTTCTATTGAGTTAACATATGTGTATCATGACTAGGGCCCTCACTAGTCACAGCAAATTAAGTAAACAGATAGGTCTAAGCCTGTGCTTACCAAAGATTTGCAGATTTTGCCAAATTGAAGAGAAAATGCTACTACTCTCCTGGACAGCGACCGCGACTTTGTTTTATACAATGTAATGTTTCTTATTTCTAGACAATTCATACAGTGTCATCTAGTCCCAAACTAAATAAAGCTTGTATTATGGATACTAGACGACTGATATAAATACATAGAGGGGGAAGGGCATTGTTAGTAAAGGGGACTAGTATGACCCCATTGAAAGCAATGTAGGTACCATTTTAGGTCCATCTCCAAGCGGTTGCTCCTGGAAGTCATCGAGTTTAATTTTAGATTGTGGAATTACCTGGGCTCATTGGGCTCCCTAAAATATGGTCGAGCGCAGTGATGGCTGGCTCATACGTCATATTCATGAACGAGTGCTGCTTGTAGGGACTGGTCTGCTCTATTTACTACGACTGTTTTAATCCTATTGTGTACTTAATATCTGAAGCTAATAATTTGTGCTGGTTTGTATTCGAACGTTTCGAATTGGAAATGTAAAATTTCAATGATTATTTACGCTCCGCGTCCATTTAACGCCCACACATACCATTTTCCCTTCAGTACACCAAATACTCACAAGCAAGCAATAGTCCACACTCAATCATCGTGTACTCAATATATCAAGTTGGAAATCAGCCCGGACTTATCATTTATACATCATAGCATCCAGATTGTGTGGGTCACAGCAGACTTATACGCACATCTTGGTTGTAGCACTCATGCACAACGAAATATCTTCTTTGGAAAGTACATACTCTATCCTGAGGAGATAAAAACCATTGCACCTATGAATATCCTTCAATTCTTGTCCTTGACGGACCTAGGCAGCGATTTCTAAAAAAGGGTGAGCACAGTAAATTGTGTAGCAGTGGTACAAATTCTCTGTGGCACCAAACTCTGTAGTATCCAATAAAAAAGTGTTAATCTATACTAACATTATAATGAAATTTTGAAATGAAATGAATATTTATTGCTTAAAATGTGGTACATGTGTGGTTTTTAAGATCTTTAGAACTAGTTTCACACATTTTGTCATTTCTGACATGCAACAGACAAAACAGATGTCAATTTTGGTTATTATTCGTTAGTCAATATTAAGTACGTTACATTATTTATAATATGAGTATGTCAACTTCGTATTAATGAAATATTTATAAATTATACATGTCAATGTTTTTAATTAAGTAAGTACTCCTGAACACTGTAATGCTGAAGAGTTTGTTTGTTTGAATGCTCTAATCTCAGGAACTACTGGTTAGAATTGAAAAATTATTTTTGTGTTGGATAGTGCATTTATCGATGAAGGCTTTAAGGTATATAACATTACGCTTCGACCAATAGGAGCGGAGCTGCAATGAAAAATATTGCAAAGGCGGGGAAATAAAACGCAGGCGAAGTTCCGCGGTTCAGCTAGTATGTTCATACATACTATCTGAAGAAACACACAAATTTCTTGCTCATTCTTCTCGTGATGAGTCTGCATTCCGAATAAGCGGTAGAATAAAAAAACTTGACTATTCAAAAGTGGTTATATTAAGTTTATTTGAATAAAGATTATTTCTATTTCTATTACGGAGAAGTTTGTTACTGTTGATGTTGTGTGTTTGGATGGATGGATGGATAGATGTTTGTTCAAATTCAAATTCAAAAATCATTTATTCGTGTAGGACATTTTAGCCGCTTATGAACGTCAAATGTTTACATTCTAATTTTATTTTTTTCCCTACCGTCCAGTTCGGTATATAGATCCAATTGAGAAGAACTGGCAAGAAACTCAATTATTACTTTTTTTTTAAAGCCAGTTTATTTACAATTTATATTTATATAGGTATCTATGTCTAACATTAAATGAAAATCCCGTGCATGAACAACTATTGCCATGCATACTTCGTCATTCAAGTAATCGTTTAGTGAGTAATAGGCTTTGCTCGGTAAATATGATTTAACAGATGTTTTGAATTTATTTAAGGGTAATTCCAACCTATCCTTTGCTATCTTATTGTAAAGTTACTCTCAACTACGCTAAAATTACTGAATGCATTTTATAGAAACTTTACAATAATAAAGCTTATACCTACCTCAGAATAACACATATTGCACGCGATTGAAACCGGGGCCACAGATAGTTATAAAATATAAAGAGTAATTTCCAAATCACTAAGCTATCATACTCCTCTGTGACTCTGTGATGTTAAGTAGGTATCACCGTGTGCAACTAGTTATTACGTAACGTAACTAGTTACGAGTACTCTGTCAATGAACTCCAGCTGCAATTGTATACTCAACAATGGTTAGTTTTAAACCCATGTATCATTACATAGTATAAAACAAAGTCGCTGTCGTTGTCTGTCCGTCCCTATGTACGCTTAAATCTTTATAACTACGCAACGGATTTTGAAGCGGTTTTTTTATAGATAGTGTGATTCAAGAGGAAGGTTTATATGTATAATACACGTACACCCGTACGAAGCCGGGGCGAGTAGGTAGTTCTAGAATAAACCAAGAAATACAAGTAAATAAAATTGAACAATATCTAATTACAAATTAAGTTTGTCACTAAATGCATATGAAAGTATATATGAAATTGAAAATAATTATAAAATAAAATTGTTTATTCTTGCTAATTTCTGAAACGGCTGAACCGATTTTGACGGGATTTTCACTCGCAAATAGCGAACTGTAGGGTACTTTTATTTTAGTTACTTTAATAAAAACAAATTCACGCGGACAAACCAGCGGGTATAACCTAGTACATATCTCTATTAGTAAATAAGTTTTTTGTGTACCTGCTTGAGCTGGCGGCATAAGCTAACGAGTGAGTGAACAATGACCGTAGCGGATGTTTTAAACGTTTTATTATGTAATATTATATTATCTGTGCTTTTATTAATTTAATGATGCACTCGCCTGTGGTAATGGTATTCTCTGACGGGGCGCAGGTTGCAAATGATAAGATGATCATGAATTCTAATTAATACATTGTGGCAAATTCACAAAGAACTATCACAAGGATTTGCAAAGAGAGCTACGGAGTTCGACCAGTGTACATAGCAATAATATTAATATTCACACAGCGCCATCTAGTTCCAGCCTAAACTAAGCTTATGGGTACTAGAAATACATATGTAGATACATTTTTTTGTAAATACATATTACACATAATTTGTAAACACTTCAACCAATACAAAAATTACTCATGAATAAATGTTTGCACCGTGCGAGGAATCGAACCCTCCACCATTGGAAATAAGGCGCTGTGCTACACCGCGAGACTACTGAGGCCCTCAACATGCCTGATTTAATTTCTTATCATGTTATACTCCAACCAGCAATGATGAAGTATCCAGTATCCATTAAGTATCTGTACATAGGGAAATATTAATTTTATTGTAAATAAATGAAATATTTCAACGAATATAGAAATATTACTCCTTTAATATTACAAGTGAATACAGTAATATACTTATGAAATACTATAATACAACTATAATTTAGGTATAACACATTCTTTTTTTCCTACGTATTTTTTTAGGGCTTGGCACTTCTGTGCATTTGCCAATATACAAAATTTGGGAAATAATTCTTCAGGTAAAGGAAATTTTTAACGATAGCTTTAAAGGATTGTAATTCAATTCTATGCGATACTATTGACAAACAATCTAATAGGTGCATCTGATAAAATATATAACCTTCTAGATATACAAAGCAAAATATCAATCACGAAATAATACCATTATGCATGACAGTTGTACATCTCAAGTTTTGTAACATTTCACAGATTAAATCCAATATATGCTGGTGGTTACTACATTCTCCGTAATTGAATTTAAAAATTAATCTGTATTTTGGTAATCATGTAGAAGCCCATATGAAAAGAATAAGAGCTGAGTTTCTAGCCAGTTCTTATCTCGAAAGCACTCCGAATTGACGGTAGATTTGACATATCACAAGAGTCTGTAATAGACCTACATGAATAAACAACTTATCCCTGCACAACTCATGGTTGACTGGTAGAAAATGCCATTAGGTGTTAAGTCCGCCATATGTACTTTTTACCTGTGTATGACGTGCATTAAAGTTATTTAAATAAATAAAATAAATAAATAAAGATATTTGGTTTGAATTGAATGTTTACCGTCATTATCTTTATTGGGAGTCGGTGAAGTAGCGTAGAGGGGTTCTTATTAAAATTGTCAGGAATGTTGTTTGTAACTAGTATTAATTACCCCGCAAAATGCAAATATAGATACAATTTCTTATTAAAGTAACATAGTTATATTGAAATTATTTACATAACATTCAACACGCCATGCAATTCCATACACACCCGAAAATAGTCATTTCTTATTTTTATTATACAAACATAATTTAGAAATGAGATAAAGAAACAACTTTTAACATGTGAAAATATTTTAATTAAAAAAACTTAAAAGTATTATTATAATAACTTATATATATATTACCTAGCTCATACTGAATACATTTTGGGGATTTTATTAACTCCCTTATGTTGTTAAAAAGAGTATAATCACTAAATCATGATATATGATTTTATAATATTAGGATAACAGGTTATGGGAGCTCCTTGCCCATTAGTTGGGTCAAGTGTGATGTCCCATTTGTAGCGATACAAAAATGAGAAGGGGTCTGCATAGTTGCATCAGCATCTGACTGCACACTGATTCCCGTAACCCCTAAAAGGTCAATCTTGGGGTTTTCAGCAGGTAAGTGTGACAGTAAAGGAGACTTGCCTTGGGGGAGGGGGGCCCTAAGGCAAGGTTAACTTCCCTTCGTTTCACCTTGGAAACAATCATGATTAATACCTGGTGAATTTGTCATGATGTGCTAACTGACCTGACCTCATGTTCATCTTATCATCCTCCACTGTTTTCCCGGCAGCGTGAGCCGTTAGGGCAGACGGTTGCACCATTCCATTATCATTGATTAAAAAAAAAGTATCCACTTTCTGATTAAGAAAATCTGGATCTGGTTGCCATGATAATAAATAAATTATAATTAATAACTCATAGGGTTGCAGTAGCATATTTCTAGTGCTCCATTATGTTACATATTGCATGACAGTGTTACTTTATATAAAAAATCACATCCCTTATAATAATTGCCATATAATTTACTGTGCTTTCTTGAATTCAATTCTTTCAACTTTCACCTCATCACCTAGCAGTTTGTACACATATGTCACTACTGTAGAACTTTGGATGTCCATTAAAACAAATGATGGTGTTGCCGTTCTAGAAACAGAAAAATAAAATGTACAAATATAAACTACATCACAGTTTACTACTCGACTTACATACAAAAAAAAATGGACTTCCAACCTGACTAAAAAAAAACAATTTGTCAGACATAACTTCCAGGAAGAAATCATTACATGACAGCAGTCATCATTATTGTCTGACAGAACAGCATATGCCGGCTATTGTATAATACATCTCTGGACAATAGCCACAGTGCCATCTAGTCTCAAGCTAAGCAGAGCTCGTGTTATGAGTACTAGAAACCTGATATAAATACTTATATATATATTTTTTGCAAATGCATATACAATAGGTATAGCATCTATACAAACAATCATTATAGTGAATACAAATTTTTATACCATGCAAGGAATTGAACTGGCGACCATCGGAAGTAAAGCATTATACTAAACTGCTAGATCACAGAGGTCATCAAATTCACCCGAAATTTATACATAAATGTATATTATAGTAATAATGAAAAAAAAAAAAATCATGTAATTTTCTCAAATTACAGTATTAGAGCAGTTTTTGTTTGTTGTTCTGGATTCAAATTTCATACAGAACTGATGGTAAATCAAAGTAATCCTAAGTCTGTAATAGACATTTTAGACAAATATTAGATTAAAAAAAACATGAAGTATACCTGTACAATGGGCTGTAAGCACCAGTAGCTGATCCAGGATTGATATAGAACTTATTCTCATGCTCATAAGCCTCAAAACGGTGTGTGTGACCCGATATCAATATATCTACATCTAGTTGCCGCTGTACCAGCGCTAAGGACTCTTCATCACCCCATGGAACAACCTGGTGACCATGGATCAGCCCAATTCGGAACTGGCCAACTGTGATGACCTTTTGCTCAGGATATGTTGAGTTCTGGAAGAAATTAATTTAATTAAATATGACAATTCTTCTTTTTATTAATGAAATCTTTGATACACTTCCTTAATTTGAAGAGAGATAAATATCAGTAATAATTTTTTTTAACACTTTAAGCCCTTCCTCTGTCAAACACTTTAGCCACTCTGGAAGACATTCTATCACATGATAAGCTGGTGTCCGTAAAGATGTTTATGTATATAGACTACAGTTACCATATAGTAGGATGTCAGCTTCTTTACCATTTCAATTGTATAAAAAAATAAACACAGATATATTTACAATTGTACTAGCATTTGGTCAGGCCATCATGTTGAATGTATAATACTCATAATTCTAGCAAACTAATAAATTAGAAGAAAAAACAAATATTATAAGTAACCTCATCAAAATCCCCCCTAACAACATGTACATCACTGGCTAAGGTCTTTAAATAGTCGTAGGATTCCTTGGTGCACAGATTCCCTGTGCATAATATGTGCTGGATCCTTCCCGGCAACAGAAGTTTCTTAAATTTCGGAGGCAAGCTGCTGCAGCGGTGAGGAATATGTAGATCACCTAATACAAGCACCAGCTGAAAAAAAAGTTCTTTTTTTTATAAGTTATAGGTACAGACACACACGACAAACTGAATGATAAAATTAACAAATTCATCTACAAATATGAATTTGTTAATTTTATCATTCAAATATCAAATAATGGGAAGACACAGCAGCTGGAAATAAGTTAATAAAAATTTTATTAAAAAAGTTCATTTATTTTATCGTTACCATCGTAACAACAAAGTTGATTTTCTGCTAATATAAGGTTTAGACATATTCTGTGGACTATGGTATGGACGTTTAGCGATAACATGAAGTTAAATGTTGAATTTCCTGTAAATGTAATATAAAAGTTAGAGAGCCAAGCAGTTTCTTGTCAGTTCTCGGTGCAATTATTGTTAGATTACATTCAAAACTGATAATAGATTTTACTTATTATAATTATAACGATATTTTATTTAATACAGATTGTATTTCACAAAAGTAATTATTAAATTTCGTCTGAAATTGAAGACTATGCTCCGATATAAGGGCGTAAACATAGAGGTTACTGTAATTTACTCACCATTTTTTAGATGCAATTAGGAATTTAAATGAGAGAAATTATAAGTTAACTATTCATATAGTCGTAAACTAACAGTGTAAATCGTTTAAATATGGAAATTTCTCATTTATAATATTAATTTAGTCAAAGGAAGGACAACCAAAATACAAGTAGCGTTGCCATATAAAATATTTTGATTTAAATAAGTCACGACTATGCGACTACGGGAATAGTTAGCAGAAAGAGAAAACTACTAAAGAAATAAAAATCTAGAAACCTTATCTTTTTATAATAATTTCAATAATATTTAAAGTGTCCCTAATTCAGAATAATTCAAATTATAGCAATATTGCAAAAAGTTTTAATGATTATTTTGTTTCAAAAACTGCGTAAAATGAAAAAGATAAAGGTTTAAAAAAATATATTTTATCTATGCATTTATATTGCCATTTTAACATAATTTCCCAGTTTGTTGTTAAATGACCAGAAATTTGCAATTATTAATGACTATCAATGCTAGACCCATGTTACTTGTTTTTAATTCTTATAGACCATGTCTTTCAACCGTTCTCTTATTTTTTCTTAAGCCTTCTTAATGCGCAAATTGAAAATAATATTATAAGGAAATCTTTTTTCTCCTCTTTCCTTATAAATATTATTTCCAATATGCAATATAATTCGTTGGTATTCAATACTACATAATTATACATTATTAGTATAGTTTTTTATTTTAAGTCATATTTTATAATTATATTATAATTGAAATAGAAATAGAAATAGAAATAGAAATAATCTTTATTCAAATAAACTCATTACAAGCACTTTTGAATAGTCATATTTTGATTCTACCACTCATTCGGAATGCAGATTCATCACAAGAAGAATGAGCAAGAAACTTGTGTGTTGCTCTTTTTGATAGATGTTTTTTTTTATATAAATAATTACAGTGTAACAAGTAAGAGGCATGCGACAATCAACATAGAAATCGCTACGCACTCATTATTAGTGTAATCAGATAATATTGTCAGTGCTATGTATTTAAAATTTTTCTACAAAAACATTATTATCGTTAACGAATTCTTCAATTTTATAGTAAGCTTTTTTGCAAAGGAAGTGTTTTATTTGACATTTAAATCTTTTTTCTGGCAGATTTATAACAGACTCTGGTATTTTATTGTAAAACCTTACGCAATTGCCATAAAACGAATTACTAACTTTAGCCAAACGACATTTAGGTAAAATCAGTTTGTTATTGTTACGTAAGCTTTTATTAGTGCAATCACTAACTCTTTTGAAACTGTCTATATTCTTCCTGGCATACATGATGTTTTCATAAATATATTGAGAAGCAACGGTGAGGATATTTGATTCCTTAAAGCACTCTCGCAAAGACTCCCTGGAACCCATGCTATAAATGGAGCGAATGGCCCTCTTTTGTAAAATAAATATTGTATTTATATCAGCTGCTTTGCCCCATAACAAAATACCATACGACATAATGCTATGGAAATAACTAAAGTACACAAGTTTAGCTGTTGCCACGTCTGTTAATTGTCTAATTCTTCTTACCGCATAAGCGGCAGAACTAAGTCGACTCGCTAATTTAGTAATATGGGCACCCCATTGCAACTTGGAATCTAATGTGATACCTAGAAATACAGTATCATCCACAAAATTAATAGGTTTATTGTCCAACATGATTTTTGAATCTACCGGTCTTACATTGGGGAGAGTAAATTTGATACATTTAGTTTTATTTGCATTTAGTAACATATTATTAGCCGTAAACCATTTTAAAACATAAGAAAGAGCACCGTTTACTTCGTCCAAATCATCAATATGTCGATTGACTTTGAATACTAATGAAGTATCATCAGCAAACAGAACTATGTCAGCTATCTTTTCTACCATATAAGGAAGATCATTTATGTAAACTAAAAATAAGAAAGGACCTAAAATAGAGCCCTGAGGAACACCCATTTTAATACTAGTTCCTTCAGACTTTACACCATTTATTTCGACAACTTGCATTCTATTATTTAGATAGGATTTCATCATGCTTTGTGCTTCATATCTAATACCGTAATGTTCAAGTTTGAGCAAAAGTGTTTCATGTTCAACGCAATCAAATGCTTTTGAAAGATCGCAAAATACACCGACTGCATCCTGAGACCTCTCCCAAGAATCAAATATATATTTAATGAGAGCTACACCGGCATCAGTAGTTGATTTACCGGCCGTGAAACCAAATTGTCGACTGTGAAGCAGTTTATTTACTTTAAAGTGTTGTAGCATTTGATTGAGCATAATTTTTTCAAACACTTTACTCAATACTGGTAAGATAGATATAGGCCTATAATTACCTACCACAGTTTTTTCTCCTGACTTAAAGAGTGGAGTTATTTTGCTATGTTTCATTAAATTGGGAAAAACACCGTCAGAAATACATTTATTGAAAATAATTACTAAATATGGAGCAATAACATCTATAGCGGTGTTAATAACTTTAACAGACATGCCCCAATGGTCTTCAGTATTTTTTAAATTTAATTGTTTAAATGTTTTAGTAATTGTAGCAATGTCAATAAATGTAAATTTAAATGTAACCGGACAAGAAACAACATTATCAATAAGGAATGATTTAGCTGTACCAGGAGAAGAGTCCAAAGAGGAAGTAATGTCAGTTGGAATATTAGCGAAAAAATTTTCAAAAATATTGACAATTTCTTTTGTGGACGTTACTAGTTTATCATTATAATTTAGCGTAAAATCGTTATATGGACTTTTAACTTTGCCAGTTTCTTTGTTAATAATATTCCACACTGTCCTTATCTTATCCTTGGACTCTTTAATTTTTTTATTTAGATAATTAGACTTTGCTACATTACATACCTTTTTAAAAGTTTTTGAGTATCTTTTTACATAATTTACGAATGTACTATCGAAACGGTATTTTTTTTGAGCATATAAATCAAATAATATATTTCTACTTTTAAGAATTCCCTTTGTAGCCCATTCTGAAAATTTTGTTTTGTTAATAATACTGATAGTTTTTTTGTTAAAAGCCTTATTATATTCGTTAGAAACAATATTGAAGAAATCTGTATAAAGTTTGTTAGGTTCATTAGATGGAAGATAAAAATCTAATTTACTACGAACTGATATTTTAAATTTATTTATCTTATAACTAGTCAAGTCTCTTTTCAATAAATTAATTTTCCCAATTTTGTTTAAGTGATTTGGAAAAATAACTATTTGACCACAGTGATCAGAAGGAAGGTTGTTTATTATTATTTTATCTAAATACTCACTGTTGCTAAATATGTTATCCAAGCAAGTAGCAGACGTGGCAGTGATACGAGTGGGTTCGTGGAAGACATTACTCAAGTCAAAGGATTGAAATAAACTCATTAATTTAGTTTTTGTGGTATTATGTGATAAAATGTCAACATTGAAATCACCACACACTATAATTTTTTTGTTAATATTAAATACTCTTTTTAAAATATCCTCCATTACCTCTTCAAATAAATTATAATCACTATTTGGAGGTCTATAAACACATATAACTATATAATTGTCTAGTTCCACACAGGAAATTTCAATACAACATTCAACAGAAAGATTGCCAATATCACTACGTTCTTTTACTTTTATATTATTTTTCACCAATATCATAGAACCTCCTCTATTTACTATTTTTCTATTAAAGCAGCTGACAATATTATAATTGTTTAAGCTGAACATCATATTGCTCACTTTGAGCCAATGTTCAGTTAAACATAGAACATCTATATTATTTTTTTCTAAAAACAATTGAATAATTAATTCACAGCCGAGAAAACTTTGTATGTTCTGGTGAACAATTTTCAATTCTGATAGCTTTCCCTTTGTCTTTTTCAGCAGTTTAAATCTGCAGTCATATTTAAATTTTTGTAAATAAAAGGATTCTTACTAGAATCAATATTTATGTCAATATTTTCAGTATGTTTAGTATTAACATTAGTACAAGTACTACTAATTGGATTAATGCAACCCATTATATTACTTATAATGGGGTCATTTATATTATAAGCTAGTAAACTAGCTATATTTCTTATTTGTTTTTTAGGCAGATAAAATCTATCTCCAGTCATACAAAAGTTTGTAACAAATTTGTTACTATCAAAAAATAAAAAGTCATTATGACGACATGTCATATTATAAATTAAATTATTAATATAATATATGAACTTATTTTGTTCAATGGTCAGAGAACGACAGTAAGGAAATGCACATAATATTATTTTACCTATGCCCAGCTCAGCAATATTAAGCAAAGAGTTTACAAGTTTAATTACATGACTTTTTTTTACATATAAACAGTTGCCTAAAGCAATGACTAATGTGGTTAACTTATCATACCTACCATTAACCACCTTATTTAAAATATTAGGCAATGAAGCACCAGGAAGACAATTATTTATGACATGTTGATATAGACTTTCTGATAATGAACGGCCCAGACCCTTACCATATTCATCTGAATAAATAATTGTCCTTCGTACTGGTGCAACATTACAATTATCAGTTTTTAAAGACAAGTTAGAATTGAGTAAACTAGAACAAGGAGCGATTGACTCAGTCAAAACCGATGTGATTGACTTATTGTTATTTCCATTAGGGCTATACTGACAAGATTTAGGAGATTCAGGTGTCTCACAACAACATTTCTCTGTCAATGAGGTAAACCGCTCCATGTTGTAATTTCCCAACTCTATTAATTTATCCAGCGATTTACTATAATTATTAATTTCAAGTTGAGCACACTCATATTTTTTTGTTAAATTAGATAATGAAGATTCTAACTCTTGAATTTTACTCTTTATCTAATTTTATCTAATTTTTTCTAATTAGTGATTTTAAGAAAATTGATAACGAATTCGGTACTTTGTAATTGTATAATGGTAACATTTGTCACTTTACTTTCCTCTATTCTCTTTGGTTGTGGTGAAAAAAGAAAAATTTCATGGTGTTTTGGGGTGACACATATACGTAGGAAAAAATAGTGTAAGATAATCACATTGGCACCAACTGCAGGGAAATGGAATCAATGGAATATGAGCTCGCCAGAAACCTCACTCTGTTGTTTTTCGTGGAACGCCTGCTCGACAAAGGCGAGCCGCGTACGTTACACGATCTTTCCTGCCAGTTTGGTGCCAAGGGGTTCACTAAGGAGATGCGGCAGATCGCTGGCGGGTCGCAGTCGGGACTAAAGAAGTTCCTGGCTCAGTACCCGGCGTTGTTCAACATAGACGGGGACTATGTTGATATCAACACATTCCAGAAGCATCAAAGTGGAGCTGGCGCGTCGTCAAACAACGACTACATCGAGGAGGCTAAGGAATATTTTGCGAGCAAAATGATCCAGTACGGCGAGGGTACCGAGGTGCCAATCAAGAGTCTGCTCGGACACCGCAGCCAGGCATCCCCACAGGTGCGTCACATCTCGGGACAGCGAATTAAGGAATTTAAGGACTTTCTCTTGAAACATCCCGACACGTTCCAGATTACTGATGACAATGTCGTTCTAGTCAGTGATAGCCACAGGAGAGGTAACACACACAGTAACTCTGAGCACTTTCACAATTTGCCTGTGGCCCATATAAATACAGATACTGCCCAACAGTTGTTAGACTATGTCGCACAATGTATAGAGGCTAAGGGACCAGTCATGGTTGATCAACTGTTTCACTTAATTGTCTCTCGCTTTCCACAAGAATATTGGTATCAAATGTTCAAATCGCCAGCTGACTTAAGCGCCTTTCTGAAGTTATTCTCAGATAGCTTCCATGTTCAATCAAATCTTGTCACATTAATTAGCAAACCAAAAATTCCAGTAATGTATCTTAATGCGAAATCTAAAACAAAGACTGAACCACCAAAGCCTGTGGTAGATGAGAAACCTGCATCGCCAGCTCCACCTGTCATAGTGAGCCCTACACCGTCAGATGGCAATAAAAGTCCAGCCAATAGAATACTCAGTCCTATAGAATCTCCCCGTGGTCCTCAAGCGAATATAGCAAATCAAACGCTTAAACAAAGGATTAATTCTATCGTGATAAAAAACTTAGCAGAGAACATGGTTAGAGATAGGGTTAATAATCATTTGAATGCTCGCAGTTCAGAAGAAACAAATGGTACACCAAGTTTACGAAGCAACCTAATGGGAGATACATGGCGCCAAAAAGTGCTTCAGTGCACAACTGTCATAGCCAATGTTAGGGAGTGCTCTACACTAATTGATAGTATTATGAATCCTAAACGTAATGCAAAAAACATTGTATCATTTGATTGTGAAGGGATAAATCTTGGCCTAAAAGGAATATTGACTCTTTGTCAAATTGCTACCATGAATGGTGAAGTGTACATATTAGATATCATGGCATGTCCTGGTATGGTTATAGAAGGTAAAATCAAGGACTTATTAGAAAGTGAAAATGTAGTCAAAATCATACATGATTGTAGAAATGATTCAGTCAATTTACACAATCAATTTGAAATCACTTTGAAGAATGTATTTGATACTCAAGCTGCCCATGCTGTATTGCAATTACAGCAGCAAGGTGTACCTGTTTATAAAGTGAAAAATCTTAGTCTTAATGCCTTATGTGAGTTGTATAATGCTCCAATGAACCCCATGAAAGAGCAATTGAAAAATGTATATAGAAGAGATCAGCGTTATTGGGCTCGGAGGCCATTGACAAAAGACATGATCATATATGCTGCATCAGATGTTCTTTCCTTAGTCAATCCTGCAATATATGCTTATATGTCCAGCAATATTAAGCCAGATAACCAACTGTTATTTGAGGAATTAAGTAATGAGCAAGTATTTATGCATATTCAGCCTACAGAGGTCAAATTACGTAAAAGGCAAAGAAAAATAAACACAGAAGTAGGAGAATTAAAACAAAAATTGGCAGAAACAACTAAAAATATTGTTTTAAGTAACAGGGAAATTAGATTGTTGAGATATTTGGAACTCACAGAGGAGGAAAAGGAAAAATTGAAAGGTTGTCACAAAATATCTAAAAAATTAGAAAAATTAGAAGCAATAGGACAAGACAAGGATTCAGATTCTGACGATGATGAGAGAGAAAATGAGATGGCTAGTTTAGAGTCTAATCCTTCAGACCCAATTTCATCACCACACTCCACACAACCTCCAAGCCTCACTGAGTCAATGCAGATGATGGATGAAATATTGTCAGATGCTAACATGGATAAAGTTGAAAAAATAAATCGTCTTGAAGCAATTCTGTCTGCCGTGGCGCCGCTCAGTGGAGAATTGGAGGACAAATTCTCACAGACCATGGAACAAACACTGCCATTGCTCAAAAATAAGGATTGGTCCAACCTTAGTCAAATTTTGAATATGAGTGATGCAGAGAGAAAGAATTGTAGTTGCAGATGCCATAATTCTAATTTTGATGATGTTAGGTGCAATGATCTCAATGAAACCAAGAAGTCCGAAGTTGGATCACAGACGCTCAGCACAGGGGACATAGTTATTACAAGGATCCATTTCAGGGAAGAGGATAAAGCAAACGAGAGGATCCTGGATGCGAGCCCTGCAAGTAAACGGACGGGAATAAACAACATGTCTTGATGCTCAGGTTTACAATACTTCCATTTTCGAGAGTGCCACAATTTAGTTCGGGGACTCTTTTCTGTACGTAATTATTTCTTCATAGTAGTTTTAAGTTTGAAAAAGTATAACAAAGTCCTGTTGTAAAGAATATATCACGTAGTATGTTTGTCAGGGGTACGATCGCGGTTGCTCGAGAATCAAGATAATTAATTATGCTATGAGGTCGTGCATCGCTAGTGTCGAATACACCCACGCTATATGTTCATTTGAGCGGAGATGAACGTATACACTCGAATAAATACAACAGTAATTCGCATAATACGACGGCTACTTAATTCCATTCGTCTGGAATATACAGTATGCTGTTACATATTTTAATTTATTTATTACGTTGGCTATTGCCTATTAAGTAATTCAACTTAATGTGATAAATTTCAAGGCCTTTTTTCTCGGTCTATTTTGTATTGTAAATAGGTATATAAGATAAAATTCGTTTAGCATGCATAATCTTCACATCTCAAATCACGATAAGTTTCAAGTGTTTTCCGATGTAGTAAACAAAAATTGTATATACCCTATTTATTAAAGTTTATTTATATTCACTTTAGTAACTGGCAGCATAGATGAAGCTGCTGAGACTTTTTTTTATTAAAAAATGGCAATAATAGGCGTATACTTACGTACAATAAAGTGTTGTAACATATTTATCGGTTATCGTTTAGATGTACACTAGTGATAAATATGTTTTTAAAGAAATATTAAAGATGGTATGGGTTTAGTATTATGATGGAAATTTTATATTGTAGGTAGTGTGAAATGGTGCTTGGATATACCTATGTTTCGAACGTTTGCAATATATTAGACAGGCATTTGCAATGAATTTTATTGTATAATTGGATGACTGGAGGTTTTTATTTTTCCTTCAGATAGTATTTCGTGCCTTCAAGTCATATCTGACGAATGCCTTAATTGAAATGTGAATCAGTAGATACTTTTTATACGTATTTTGTAGAGTAAACACGGAAATTAGATACGATTATTATTTATGGGTCACATTACATATCCCTTGTTTCACACGTTGTTAGTGAGACATTTTAATAGAAAGTAGAAGAGTAATTTCTAAATTTCCTATTACTCGTTTTGTCATTTATTTGTTAAAGGTATTAAATGTTCAAATACTTAATTCCTTTACAAGTTATATTCCTCATATTAAGTAATACTTTGTTAATAGCTTCATATATTATTACTTCTAAGCCTGTTGAATACATTCAAATAGTTTATTTTTTATGTTGTTATTACAGTATGAAATGTGTTAATACTAAGTGATATTATGCTTATTGCTTATCTCGTAGAAAGCGGTTGCTTTGATTTGTTTACTCCCATGTATTATTCATCAGTATTCCATCCAAACACTTAAGTAAATGCATGAAACTAAAAGCATTTACGCTATTTTTTTTCTTATTAACATCGCAAATCAAATGATGTTAAGGTGTTAGTCACGCTTATGAAATTGTCAACGAATTTTTTTTCTTTATATATCTGCCCGTAATTTTTAAGCGTAAGTAAATTATTCTTCTTTTTTATTTTCTAGTATAAATTTTGTGCCTTAACCCACAGCACAATTTACAAGTAAGTTTTTCACTCGATTTTGTAGCGGGAGACGACATGAGTTTTTCAGTGCCACTAATATTTTTTTTTATTGTAATATTGTTAAGGAAGCATTTTCGTTAGTCAATCTAAGGCATAATAACCACTTCTGTTATATACCTCTAGGTACGTTATATTTTTCTAACCAATGTTTAGAACTTTATTTACCTAATTACCAGAGTCTGCTTTCGAGAAAGTCTAACTTGTAATGTGGCAAATATTAGTTTACTAATTTGCGCATTGTTTATGTTTATTATAAATAAAAAGTTGTAATAACTTTGTGGTTTTATTGATTAACCTAACTAATAGTAGCAAGAAAACATGGCTCAAATAAAACGATGACAAATTAGGACTAATTTACTTACTTTGTCGCAGCAACAAGAGGATTGTTAGTGGTGGGAACTTACGTCACTATTGCTACAAATATATGTCACAGTCATCTCCACGCAGTCACTCATGAAAAATATTATGATTAATTTCTGTTCTGGCCAAACTGACCTAACTTCATTTTCATCCTGTAATCTTCCGTTGATGTCCCGCCTGTACGAGTATATGCCCATTAGTGCAGTGTGCACTATTCTATTATCAGTCATTAATAAATCCAAGCCCAAATGTTAAAAACAGCGATCCGATGAAGTATATGGTTCGCCTGATCCCTGAAATTTAACCACGTTTCTATCGACCCATTGCAAATCCTTATGACATTAAGATCTTAGATTCAACGTACTCTAAAAATATGCGGGACTAGTATGTATTAGAAAGTTATAAGAACTGCAGCAGTACTTCATAATAACTTCTCAGTATTCAATCCATGGTCGCTGCTTGATACGGCCACCTAGCTTAGTGCCGTTAACTGGACGAGTACAAGAGAAATCTTCCTAAGTAAAATGTTATTTATTTTAAATCCTTTCCTAAAAAAAATCCTAAATATTACGTGTTATGAGGGTCAGCTGGTGGAAATAAAAAATACCACATATTTTCAAGACTTCCAATACGACTAATATTTATTCAATAGTATTATTAGTAGGTACATACTTGTAAGTAAACCCAAAGTACATAATAAAAAGTTTATTTTACAACTGTAACAAATGCGTTGCCTGAATGAACAGATGTACAAGTTTTGCTTAGCGTGAAACTAGATGGCGCTGCGTAGGTGTGTAACTGTGTAATAGATAACATGAAAACTACATTATTAAAGATAAAAAATATGATGAAATTGTGAATATAGCTCCATTGAATTTATCGAAATCCTATTCTGTCCAACAGTATTTATATAACAATATCATGAAATATTGATTATTAGAGTCACAGACATATGCGCATATATTATAATTTGTTTCATTTACTACTCCACCCACCGTCAATATAAAAGACAAGTGCGAGTATTATTGAAAAAAAAAAGTGATGTTAATGACATAACGTGTCTTTAAATCATTCTCGACGTCAATCAATACGTCAAACTCAATTATTGTAACGAACGATTTAAAATTCAAAATTAACAATTTGCTGCTTCACGGAATTGTACCGCTTTTAATTATTTTTGTATTGTTTTATTTGTTTTTTATACAAAATACGATATGGAAGATTTCGATGTGTTTACAGACGAAATAGAGTTTACGAAACCGTTGTTTAAAAATATACTCAACAAGTATGTTTACGATGTACCTTCATGTTTGAGTGGTTCTAATTACCAAAGTAAGTGCATATGATTTCATACGAATTGATTATATCTTTTTATGTTCACGCTAATTCCCTGGAGGCCTGGTTTTTGACTGCACATGGAACAATGATGCATAGAATTATTATATTGTGTTCAAAGCTTGTGACCAGAGCTAGTGCAACCTATTCAAAATGTCCAGAGGGCTAAATACTTTTATCTGTACATCTATACATATATATAAAATTGGATTGTCTGTTTGTAATATTGAAATAACCGTTTTTTTCTACATGCATATGAATATACATACGGTATATACACCAAAATAACTGTCTGTCTGTCTGTTTGTTCTGGCTAATCTCTGAAATGGCTGGACTGATTCAGACGGGACTTTTATTAGCAGCTGATATAATAAGGAGTAACTTAGGCTGGTTAGTTAGTTAGGTTTACTATAAAATTATTCATTTTATGAATAATTTAAAAAATATAAATGACTAGCTACCTGCCCTAGCTTTGCATGGGTATACATGTATTATACATGTTACGAGTATATACGACCTCGATTAAGTTTTATTACGAGTAATAGTTTAGTTGTCAAAATACAAAATGTAGATTGACATTGTTGTAAAAGAAAATTATAAAAAGAGACAATACAATTATTCTGCTGTAAACGTATATATTATTTATTAGTAAACTAAACTCACCATCTCAACAAAAAAGAACCCCACCACAACAATACATATAGACCTTCCTCTTGAATCACTATTGATTGTTAAAAACTGTGTTAAAATCAATTGTGTACTTTAAAAGATCTTAGAGAATGGATAGCAGAAGTCACTTCTTTTTATACTTTGTAAAGATTTTATTTTATAGTCAATGATTCAATAAAAACTATTTCTTTCAGGTGGTAGAAAGCTTTTAGCTGAAGAGTATCTGGAAACATGTGATGAGGAAAATTGTGCATTCCACTTGAGCGAGTCAGTGTCAGCTTCACTCAGGATCATGGCTGTGTACCGAGATGAGCAGTTGAAAGCTGCTGGTAATATTATCGATTAATTAATATAGTACCTTCCTGTAGTAATAATAATTTTAATGCACTACCTGCCTGGTGTGAAATTTATAGACTACTAGCTGTCCCAGTAAACATTGTTTTGCCTTAAAGTAAAAAAAATTTGGGGTGGACTACCCCTAACATTTAGGGGATGAAAAATAGATGTTGGCCGATTCTCAGACCTACTCAATATGCTCACAAAATTTCATGAGAATCGTTCAAGCTGTTTCGGAGGAGTATGGGTACTAAAACTGTGACACGAGAATTTTATATATAAGATGTTATTCTGATGTCTAAGCTATATTACTGTAAAGTTTTATCAAAATCCGTTCAGTAGTTTTTGCATGAAAAATTAACAAACATCCATCCATACTCAAAAACTTTTGCGTTTATAATATTAATAAGATTGCTCTTTGAAATGCAGTAGTAAACTAAATTATATATAAAGTGAGTCTAAAAATTTTGTTAATAATGAAACACTCTGTGCCAGTGGTAGTTATATTGTATGTGTTAATCTGATGTTATAATCAATATATAAGTATATATATACTATAAAGTTGCATCAAAATAAAATTTAATTTATTTTAAGTTAATATTTTACAATATTTTACAAATAATTTACAGCTTTTATTATATTACATTTCAGGTAATAAACATCATAAGATTACAAATTTTATTAAGCCTGTCCAAGCTTTGATTGACTCCAGCCCAATGTAAGTATATATATTCTTGAATTATATGTAAATGGTTAAGTATAATTAATTCTGATATTCAAGAGAAAAGATTGATATAGAGTTGCAGAGTATAGAGCACAATGGATAGAACTAGAGGGGGCCTAAGATAAAAGGCACGCAGAATTGCAGAACATTTTGTAAAGTAACAGATAAATTTAGACAGCCTGTAGATAAAACTACAATATATCTTTCAGCTTTGAAAAATAAAGGCTTTATTATTATTAATATTGTATTTATAATATTAGATCTAACATAAATAACAATTTGTAGAGATTACACACCACTATCTAATCCAGACCAGTTGCAAAGTTTGTTCTGTAGTACAACTCACACAGCCCTAATCCCAAGCTGAGCAGATTTTGTGTTATGGGCACTAGACAATTGATAGATTTTTTCTGTAAATAAAAGCCCGACCAATACAAAGAATCATACTCATGAATACAAATTTTTGTACCGTACGAGAAATCAAATCCGCGACCATCGGAGGTAAGGCTTGTGTGCTAAAAGTGTGCCAATCTGCTAGATCACCGCTAGATGGAAGCCATTTGAGTTATATTGACATATCTCTTAAATTATTTTATTTTAGATGTAAAGAAGATGAGAAACTGTTTGACTTTTTATCAAGGGATGCAGCGGAGTTAACTAAAACGTTAGAATCTATAAAAATCGAAGAGGACCCCTTGTATAAGAGATACATGAAATTCAGCTCGGACAATAATGTCGACAATTTTCATAAGATATTAGGAGAATTGCCTAAAGGTATTTATTTTTACATGACTATTATAATAATAATATATTTGGAAAATTCACAGAGCACCATCTAATCCCAAGCTATGTACTGTGTTATGAATACTAGACAACTGATATACATATTTTTGTAAATACATAAGTAGGTATGTTATATATGTAGAAAATACTCAGAGCAGTATAAACAACTGTACTGCAACCAACATAAGTAAAGCTGTGTACTAAACTACTGCTAGACCACTGAAGCTGTCATTCTTACTAATATTGTAAATGCCAAGGTAACTGTCTATCTGTCGCTCTTTCACTCCAAAACTATTGAGCCAATGTAAATGAAATTTGGTACACAGATAGTCTAGACCCTAAGATACGATATAGGCTTACCTTTTAATGGGAAAAATGGATTGTAAGGAGTTGAATTTTTAAACTGAAACTTGAAACGTATTTTTAGGTTCTTGATTTTAAATATAGATAAATATGACATTAAAAGTTTGTGAAAATTTTACCCTTCAGAGCCTAAAATAAAATAGGGGATGAAATTTATATGGAAATTCGTCATTTTTGAAGATATAACTATGTGATGCATGTTTTATTTGTAAAATAAGTAGCCTAAATGATTGCTATCCAAGTTTAATATTCCACACGGACAAAATCGCGGATACAGTTAGTTTTCTATATATTATCTAGATCTTTGTACTATTATTGTGACACGGGAATTTTATGAATGATTTACTTGCACTTTCAGAATGGACTATAGTACAGTTGACTGCACCATACAATCCCAATGAGAACATAAAACCAATGAATGAGTTTAGAACTGAGATATATTCTATATATTTAACCGTATTCTCTAATGATTATTTGAATGGAATTGGACCATTTACAATTAATGTTCCTGCAAATGTGAATAAAGGTTTGAAACTTTTTTTACGGATAATAATGGAAGGGTGCACCCGCCTGCGCTAACGGTTTACGCTGGCGGGACACCAGTGGAGGACGATTACATGAACAGTGATAAATTTTATGTATATGTGTGATCGATTGGGTGTGACACATAGTTTCTCCTTTTTAGAGTTATATGCTGAACTCATAGAACCTATGTCAGCAAGCACCTACCTACACAATAACATACATTATTTCTCGTTTAATAGTCTTTGATTTTAAAGTTAGTAAAATAATTACTATAAATCACTTAGAACCTACTTTAACTTTTAGCAAATTTGCACAATATTTTCAATTCACAGGCAAAAAGGGGCTGTTCAAGAAACACTATGGAGGGGGGGGGTCTTTACTTTGCTTATTTTGGATGACATGAGGGGTAGGGAAGTCTAGATGATGAATACGTCATCGGTAGTTATTTACTTGTTTACACGATGGCAACCCTCACATTGTCTTTGCTAACAATACACTAATTGATAAATGTTTACGTAAGCATTTGGGGAGAGGGTTAGAGCTATGCTTACTTTAGCTGACAAGGGGGATGGGGGGGGGGGGTAAATAATTGTAATAAATCTGCTTACTTAATACTTGATCGACCCCATAACACAATTAGTGTTGAAACAATAAATAATGAAATAATATATATTTTAGAAGGAGAGAAACCATTATTTACGGAACTATATTCTGTATTGGACGAGAATTATGATACTATTGCGAACGCCCAGTTTTTAAACAATAAGCGGTTGGTACAAAACTACTGGAGCAGAAGGGAGGACATCGATTTGAGGATGAAGGTAATTGGATAATATAACTTGTGCTATGTAATGCTATTGGTTTAAAAACTATAAATACATTGTTATTCTTTCAAGTAAGTTCTGAATAGGGCTGCTTCTAGACTCAGCAGTCAGACAGCTCTCATCATGGTTTATTTCATTATTCGATACGATACTATAATATTTTTTCTCTTATACTTTTATAGTATTTAGCAGTTGTATTCACACGAAATACTAAGTATATGCTTTATTTGCTTTATTCAAACAAACTTAAATTGAACTTCTTTGGAATAGTCATAGTTATTCTTCTTCTTTCTTGCTCTTCGTTCTACTACTGCTCATTTGGATAGCTGTCTTATCACAAGAATGAGCAAGATACATGCGTGTTGCTCTTTTAAATAATTGTTGTTTTTCATTTTTAAGTTGAAAAGTGTAAATACAAGCTACCAACTAACTGACTAGCACTAATTCATTAGAGTCAATATACTAAAAATACCAGTACCATTAGTACGTACTAATAGTAGTGAATCTGCATTCTGAAAGGATGGTAGAATAAAAGTGCTTTTTTTTAAGATATTACAAAAATCGTACTGAGTGGCGTGCCTTGGGAGAGTCCTATGTCTAGCAGTGGAATACAGTGGGCTGATGATATTGTTGTTGTTGTTGATGATGATGGTGATGATGATGCTGGTGATGATGTCAAATACTATTTTTGTTCCAGAGCCTAATTAATGTAATGGATAAGGAATGGCTGGGTGGTTGGGGCAGTTTGTTGACCGGCAAGTTAATAGACGGCGCCCTCAGGGACAGAATTGTTAAGTTGGTTGATACGACGATATCCGACTGGGGGTAAGTATTAGAGATGAATTAAACTCAATTATATATTATACAAGGAAATATATAAAGTAAAAAAAAAAATTAATATGGTACTCTATTCAGTAAATGAAGATTTGAAATTGAAATTGAAAAATATACTATGATGGCATTTTTTTTATATAAAAATAAAAAAAAATGACGGCATTGGTACTCTATCAGTTTAGCATACCGACTTTTTAGATGGTAGCGGGTTCAATTCCTCGTACGGTCCAAACAGATGTCTAGGTGTTTTCTATGTATATTGTGTATTTACAAATAAATATATTTCGATCAGTTTTTTAGTACCCGTAATAATCTCTGTTTATCTTGCTTTATTTTTATACTACTATGGTGGCAAATAAACATCGGTTCGGATCGGCCAATGTGATGATAAGCGGCTACCGTAGCCTATGGACACCTGAAATGCTGCTTCAGACGTCCATAGTGTTGTATAAATATGTAATAAAACTATTTATGACTGAAAATTGTATTTTAATCTTATGGTAGATAGAGAAGGTGACACAATACAATAATTTTGTTTTTATATTTTTGATTATAGAATAGAAAAAACCTTTAAATATATTAATATGAAAAGAGTTTTCTCAACACATAGGCTATGGGATTTGTGTACAGGGTATCACGTGCAAGTTGTCGACCCTTAAGAAATCTTAATGTACCTAACTTGAAAAACCCCTTGCTAGTTTCTCAAGAAAACCTCGGCATGTAGTTCATTCCACAATCTAACGCGCGGTACGCGGTACGCGGGAGGAAACTCCTCTGAATCCGCGCTGTTCGAGGACACTTAGGTTTCAGCATGTAGGGATGAATTTCCTGTCTAATTTTACAGCGTGTAACTTTAGCGCAGGCTGGTACTCAATACCATAATTTTAAAAAAAATGCTGATATAGTGAATGTAACGGTTGTCGCATAAAATGTGGTACATTCGGTTTTCAATAGATTTAGGCATTTGTGTTTATTTAAAGAAGTCTGTGGCCTGTCCTTTGTTTGTCAAACGCGTAACACATTCCGGGCCGTGTGAGTTTTGTTCAAACACTAGATCAAACAGAGACAGGCGATACGTCCTTCTTTGTGTTCTCGACTCTATACAATACAAGCAACCCACCAAGTCTTCACACTATAACTTATATATAAAATTCTCGTGTCACAGTTTTCGTTCCCATACTCCTCCGAAACCGCTTGACCGATTCTCATGAAATTTTGTGAGCGTATTGAGTAGGTCTAAGTATCGGCCAACATCTATTTTTCATCCCCCTAAATGTTAGGGGTAGTCCACCCCTATTTTTTTTTTATTTAGAGGCAAAACAACGTTTGCCGAGACAGCTAGTATATATACAAAATTATCGTGTCACATTATTAGTTCCCATACTAAATACGAATTGTTTTTAAGGTAATTAAAAGTGTTTCAAGGTGTTAAAAAGATTATATAACATATACTTTTTTTTATTAAATCTCCGTTATTCTTTACAAGTTTATACAGAAAAGTAGAAATATAACTTCAAAAGTTGCGTATTATTAGTTGAATCCTATCTTCACGACTGTTATCTTATATGAGGTAGTTAAATTGGCACTTGACTTGCCTACACTTCGCTACATGGCTATGGGCAAGCTTATCGCCCTCTCTCGGATTATTTTTTTATTTCATTTAAGTATTTTAAAACGATTTTTTTTTGTTGTGATGTTTATATAGTCTAGTCGAAAGTTGGATATATAGACCTGACACAAAAGTGTGACCACTGCGACATCGATTGACATTAGTGGTACCAGTATTCCTAAATTTATCAAAATAAATCCACCATATAGATATCTATATGGTGGTGATCGGAGGATATCCTCCGATCGATCTCCAGATCAATTCAAATAGGGATCGAAATTATGACGGCCTGAGCCGAGATTAGAACCCCTAGCGGTTCCCTCAGAGTAAAGTCCTATTTGTCAGACGGGACTTAGCCCTTAGCTGTTACATAAGTCGTTACTCTGCAGTGTCATCTGCACTCGCCCCCTATCGTTCGGTGAAGCTGTAAAAGGCCAGTTAGAGCCAACAGCATTAGAATATTTCGAAATAAAAAAAACATATAGACATGCATGGAAGGCAGTATATGGATCAACTAGCTTTTGTCCGCGGATTCGCACGCGTTAATTTATCCCCTTAGGGGTGGAATTTATCAAAATCTTTTCTTAGGGGATGCCTACGCTACGTCATAGTAGCTTTATGCATGCGAAGTCTCAGCCCGATCGGTTTAAAATTGACAAAGTTTCATACAAACTTTCATCCTCTATTTTATCCCCTTGGGGGTAGAATTAATCAAAATCCTTTCTTAGCGGATGCCTACGTCATAACATCTACCTGCATGCCAAATTTCAGCCCGATCCGTCCAGTGATTTGGGCTGTGCGTTGATAGATCACTATGTCAGGCACTTTTGATTTATATATATTTAGATATATAATGGAACACGTCTATGTTTCAGATTTATAAAGCTGACGGACAAACAAAAAGTACTGCTGTACAATTTAATAGAAAGTAGCCCAGTGCTGTCATCAAATCAAATAAAATCCTGTATTAGGAAAATATTAACCGAACATGGCAACACTGAAGACATACGACGAGTTATTGAGGAAATCGACTGCCAAACATGCACCAAAGAGTTTAGATTTTTAAACGAATTGTGTTTAAAATGCTTGTCGAAAGCGTTCGAAACAATCCATCATTTTACTTTAGTTGATGGAATAAGGGCATTCTCACAAGCAGCTACGTCTGTGAAAGAGGGCGATGAGTGGGCAACCCTGAAGAAAGCAGAAAGATATCCTGTTATACTCATTGTTGATGAAGTGAGTATATTATATGTGAATGGTTTAGTAATAGGCGCCAACGGAATATCAGCGCTGTAGATTTATCTGTAGCTTTATGCTGAACTAGTTGCCTCTTCATCTTTACGAAACATAAAGTCGCCTCAATTTTTCTAATTTGTACAATTTATTTTTATGCATCTCATGTATGCTGTGTTTGTAATTGATGGATAAACCATTTGTCTATTTATCTATCTAAACAAGCTGATAATCCACTTGCTGGAAAGCTGTAACGTCGCCGTCGCATGAGGTGTCCCTTTTGAGACCTCATGTGCTGCCTCATTCCAGTGGAATGTATGGATTGAGGTATCCCGCTTTGAACCCTGTGATTTCGTTGCATAAAACTCAAAATTAGTGTCGTAATAAATCTATTGTATTCAAACAATCAAAGCTTCCAATACAACCTGCTTGATGGCAGATATAAGTAATACAGTGGTACGAAATTTGCCTCCTAAGTGCAAAATAAGTTTAATTCTACTGCCACAGAATTCTTTTCTTTTCTCCCTTTTTTTACTTATTATTTAGTGTAATTTTATGTTCTATAAAACGGAGTGATTGCTCTAGATTACTACGACTGGAGCAAACGAGAGAACTTGAAAGGTAGCTTACGTATATGTTGAGGTTATTCAATACATATTATCGTATAGATTCTTAAGAGACGGATAATTAGCAGAGACGATAGCAGCTCGCCTTGTGTTGTGGTTTCCGTACTTAATGGTAGTCACTTTAGCCTAACTATTGCTATTTTAGCGTTCCTAACTAAAGCCCTTTTAGTGTTCCTAACAAAAGAAATATAACTATTATTGTGAAATCACTTATATTCATGTTTATTTTTCAGATCTTGGACTCGTTCCCATGGGAGACTCTGCCTATTTTGAACCACCATCCAGTCTGCAGAATGGAGAACATTCACTTCGTTTATAGTCTGTTTAAACAACACGAGAAACAATTTGTCGATGGATATTTCGAAGCCAGCGGTGGTGTGGGACGATATGTCATTAACCCAGGTGATTTAATATATCTCAGAAGTGTAGAGATAAAAATATTAATACAAAAAAACGTGGCATCCATAAGTGGATAAAATGATCAATATGAATAAATTATTTTTTATCAGAGTTGATTTAAATAAATATATATAGAGAGGCGAATTACTTAATATAACGGATTCACGGTGCGGGTGCCGTGTGCCAGAGAGGGTAACTCCGAGCAGTTTCCGGGACTTGTGATCCGGGTGTAGGTTTGAGGGCCTCCTCATGTTTCTCTCCCTGCCTACGCCAAATCTATACTTCGATACTAATATTATAAAGATGTAAAATTTGTAAGTTTGTTGGATGATTACCCTAATGGTAATTTTTGTACTACAGTTCTGATTTCGAATATTATTTTAGTATTGGATAGCCCATTTGTCAAGGAAGTCTATATAACATAACATGGAGCTATGACCAATAGATAGATAGATAGATATAGATGTATATAATAGGAGCATACCTGTAATGAAAAAGTTGCAATAACGGGTAGAATGTGACGGCTAGTTTTGTATAAAGGCTTACCAATTAATCATTAAAGTTATGATTCAATCTATTGATCCATTAATCAATCTTTCAATTAATATTAGTTACACACCAATGTGAAACTAAACGAACAGTGAAGTAAATATTGATCATATATTTTCCAGATAAGAATTTGGAGCGCATGGAGAAACGGATGTGCTCATTCGTGAAGTATTGGTGCGAAGGCTGGACTGGTCATGTTGCTGAGCCACCGTCTCCTCAGGATTATTTGCGGCACTTAACAGAAGCTGATATTTTCTTGTAAGTTTTAGTTCTATTAACATTGTACCCTTTTTTTGTATAATTGTTCTAAAGATAACGTCCGGCTCGAAGGACTATCGCTGATGTTTCATCAAAAATTTATTACATATTTTTACTATTAAACATTTGAGATAAAAATATATTATCCGGCTCGAAGTACCATAGTCCATAAACTGTAACAAAATGCGAAAAATATAGGTGAAAGTTGTTACCGATACATTTTAATTATTGTTTAATTGCTATTATTAACTGCAGTAGCTACAGGATTTTAGCTAAACCTTATCGAAAATTTTACAGTGGCCATTGCCAAAGTTTTCTTAGCTTTTATTTTCTGGACTATGATTTACAATATGATATATTATATGTGCGTAGGTACTGCGGGCATGGGGATGGCTGCCACCTGGCGAGCGGCGGCGGAGCCGGCAGCAGCGGCGGCGTGGAGGGAGTGCGGGCGCGCGCCGCCTGCGTGCTGGCCGGCTGCGGCTCCGTGCGGCTGACGCGCGCCGCGCCCCGCGCCCCGCCCGCCGCGCCGCACCACCGCCTGCACGTGGCCGCCAGGTACAGCCAGGTACAGCCAGGTACAGCCAGGTACCGCCGGGCGGCGTGGTGGGAGTGCGGGCGCGCGCCGCCTGCGTGCTGGCCGGCTGCGGCTCCGTGCGGCTGACGCGCGCCGCGCCCCGCGCCCCGCCCGCCGCGCCGCACCACCGCCTGCACGTGGCCGCCAGGTACAGCCAGGTACAGCCAGGTACAGCCAGGTACCGCCGGGCGGCGTGGAGGGAGTGCGGGCGCGCGCCGCCTGCGTGCTGGCCGGCTGCGGCTCCGTGCGGCTGACGCGCGCCGCGCCCCGCGCCCCGCCCGCCGCGCCGCACCACCGCCTGCACGTGGCCGCCAGGTACAGCCAGGTACAGGTACAGCCAGGTACCGCCGGGCGGCGTGGAGGGTGTGCGGGCGCGCGCCGCCTGCGTGCTGGCCGGCTGCGGCTCCGTGCGGCTGACGCGCGCCGCGCCCCGCGCCCCGCCCGCCGCGCCGCACCACCGCCTGCACGTGGCCGCCAGGTACAGCCAGGTACAGCCAGGTACCGCCGGGCGGCGTGGAGGGAGTGCGGGCGCGCGCCGCCTGCGTGCTGGCCGGCTGCGGCTCCGTGCGGCTGACGCGCGCCGCGCCCCGCGCCCCGCCCGCCGCGCCGCACCACCGCCTGCACGTGGCCGCCAGGTACAGCCAGGTACAGCCAGGTACAGCCAGGTACCGCCGGGCGGCGTGGAGGGAGTGCGGGCGCGCGCCGCCTGCGTGCTGGCCGGCTGCGGCTCCGTGCGGCTGACGCGCGCCGCGCCCCGCGCCCCGCCCGCCGCGCCGCACCACCGCCTGCACGTGGCCGCCAGGTACAGCCAGGTACAGCCAGGTACAGCCAGGTACCGCCGGGCGGCGTGGAGGGAGTGCGGGCGCGCGCCGCCTGCGTGCTGGCCGGCTGCGGCTCCGTGCGGCTGACGCGCGCCGCGCCCCGCGCCCCGCCCGCCGCGCCGCACCACCGCCTGCACGTGGCCGCCAGGTACAGCCAGGTACAGCCAGGTACAGCCAGGACGCGAGGGGCGGGTGCGGGCGCGCGCCGCCGGGCGGCGGCTCCGTGCGGCTGACGCGCGCCGCGCCCCGCGTGCGGCCCGCGCGCGCCGCACGTGGCCGCCGTACAGCCTACCGCCGGGCGGCCGTGCGGCGCGCGCGCCGCCTGCGTGCTGGCCGGCTGACGCGCGCTGACGCGCGCCGCCGCGCCCCGCCCGCCGCGCCGCACCACCGCCTGCACGTGGCCGCCAGGTACAGCCAGGTACAGCCAGGTACCGCCGGGCGGCGTGGAGGGAGTGCGGGCGCGCGCCGCCTGCGTGCTGGCCGGCTGCGGCTCCGTGCGGCTGACGCGCGCCGCGCCCCGCGCCCCGCCCGCCGCGCCGCACCACCGCCTGCACGTGGCCGCCAGGTACAGCCAGGTACAGCCAGGTACAGCCAGGTACCGCCGGGCGGCGTGGCGGGAGTGCGGGCGCGCGCCGCCTGCGTGCTGGCCGGCTGCGGCTCCGTGCGGCTGACGCGCGCCGCGCCCCGCGCCCCGCCCGCCGCGCCGCACCACCGCCTGCACGTGGCCGCCAGGTACAGCCAGGTACAGCCAGGTACAGCCAGGTACCGCCGGGCGGCGTGGTGGGAGTGCGGGCGCGCGCCGCCTGCGTGCTGGCCGGCTGCGGCTCCGTGCGGCTGACGCGCGCCGCGCCCCGCGCCCCGCCCGCCGCGCCGCACCACCGCCTGCACGTGGCCGCCAGGTACAGCCAGGTACAGCCAGGTACCGCCGGGCGGCGTGGAGGGAGTGCGGGCGCGCGCCGCCTGCGTGCTGGCCTCTCTCTCTCTCTCTCTCTCTCTCTCTCTCTCTCTCTCTCAGCATATATTCGTCACTGTTAGACGTAGACATCTTGTCCAGAAACATCGCTACATACATAATATCTGTTATAGCCCTATGGTGATTGGTATGCTGTGGGAGGTGACGGATCTGGAGGTGGACAAGATGGTGAGCACACTGGTGGCGTTGTACGTACCATCAGCAGTAACACCGGCCTGGCCCAGCGTCGGGAAGACCAAGTGGAGCCAGGGACAACTTGGTGAGAACAGCTTTTTTATGCTATGTGGAAATCGTGACTGCGAACATGGATGAAAGAAAGAGAGAAACATTACGCCGAACCCAAATAAATGAGATAAGGAACAAGCAGATGATGATATTTAAATTAGTCGTCTGCTTCTCATAACACTGGCTCTTGTGTGTAGATCGTCGGTTATTATTAATGTTAATATCACTGTGAAATTTTATTATTGTATATTACTCAAATGAAAGTTTAGAAAAAGGTAAATAAAGTAAGACAAGAGGTCTAAATATTGTTCTGATTTTCATTTCATTCTCATTTCGGTTTTTTTTTTCTAGATACTGATGTAGAAGAGAAAAGCCAATTTGTACCAGAACGTGATCTTCTACGTGCGGTGGCCCGAGCCCGCGGCTCCACCAACTACGTAATGATAGCGAGTAGCATGGTCGCTAGAGGGTTGCCGATTCGAATCTCAGACACAAAATAAGGTGCTTTTAAAATAAAATATATATGTAGTTTAATATATGTTATAATATAAAATTTAGCGATCGTATAGTAATTAATTTTGTTAAAATTTTCAATATGGGGTGTATTGTCTGCAATTTTATTACTAATTCGTTTATTACTAGATGGCGACATATATATAATTTATCTGTTGTTGTTTAAATGCGATCAATAGATGGTGCTGTTCAAATATACTTTTAAACACGTACGAATTCGCGGGCACCTCTAGTAAAGAATAAACTGTATGTATAATTCTAAAAAGAGTTCTTATAAAGTACACCATTTTACAAATTACCATAAAAAACTGGCAATTTAATAAAGGGCAGTTTGTGTCTAAAATATATATTTTGTTTCAGGTACATAATTGCAGTTAACAAATATCTGTGATTTTAGATATTAAAAATGCTACTTATATGTATAATAAGACTTCATTTATATGTATAATATTTTAAGTTGTAATTTTATATATACGGCCAACTGAAATGGACTGGGAAATATAAATGAGAATAATTATACGCTTATTTGTTAAAATAAATTAGCAATTTCCAATAATTTATTTATTTTATTTGCACTCTTTATTGCATCAAATACAAAACAATAATTAAAATAGTAAATATACATCCAATGATACAAAAGGCGGTCTTATCGCTAAACAATCTCTTTCAGACTACCTTTAGTTGGATAGAGAAAGAAAAGATAGAAAATAAAGTTTTTATTGTGATTCCTATTACGCTTGCAAGATTTAGTTTCTAGACTTCGGTAAGTAATGTAAATTTATCAAAATTTTCATTGTTATATTAACCAATAACATTACATACTAATATATTAGCTTTAAACTATTTAAGGAATCATGAAATGGTTATACGAGGCCTGGCCAAAATCGATTTAGCGTTGAGGAAGTGATTGACGAAATTAGGCTCTGGCTCGCGGACTATAACGTTAGATGATATGTATGTTCTATGCTGTCACGGAAATGGGTCCCTGCTTGTTGATAGGAGCGCGGGGGGACGGCGCGGGGCGGCGGCGGCGGCGCGTCGACGGAGGGGTTCGCTCTTTACTGTCACAAGTTCGATGCACGGCCTGCACACACAATAATAATAATCTTCATCATCATTTATTTTATACTTGTCATTGTTTGGTGAGTATCACCAGCAGGGATAAGTCTATCATCCCATCAAAGGGAGCAAATTAAAATAAATAATAATAATAAGAACTACAGAAATCCACAGTAGTCAGGTTTTATAATACTCCTTTATACACACACATAAAGTCACCATCTGGTTGCAAAATGAATGAGAAACAGAACTTGCCTCATCAAATTTGATGACCCCAACAACTTCCAATATCTTCTTCTCCAAACTCTTTATGTAGAGACGTGCGTTAGTTACATTCACGTCGAATGATTTGCCCAGTAGCTTCAGTAATGGCAGTGAGTTGCATTCAGAGGATCTGTAATATAAAATTATATTCACTTATGAAAAGAGCTTCTTAGCAGTCCATGGATTCACCGTGCGGGTGCCGGGTCCATTGTGCGACAGAGAGGGAAACTCCTAGCAGTTCGAGGAGTTCGGGACCCGTGTGTAGGTTTGAGAGGCACCTGCCGACGTATCAACACTCACCTTCACCGCTCGTGTTTCTCTCCATGCCCAGCCAAGTCTGGTAGGAATATGCTAGTGTTGCTTTTGATACCTATGCTCAAAATGGACCTCTAAAAATTATTACATTAATGAACAAACATTACCTATATGTTCAGAGGAATTGTTCGACATGATGCCTACAGCTACCTTTTACCATCGCATCACACGCTAAAATCTAAGTGGGCTCGGACAGTGCGGTTTCAGAGGAGCTTCCTCCCGCTTAAATCGTCGAGGTTTTCTCACGATACTACGGCATGGTTTTTCAAAATTATATTAAGGTTTCTTAAGAGTCGACAATGCGCACCGGACTCCCCTGTTGCCTCAGAAGTGTATAGGCTACGGTAACCATTTACCATCATGTGATGTGATGTGATGGACCGTGTATTTGTTTGCCACCATCGTAGTATAAAAAAAAATCTAATGTGATACCAGCCAGAACAGTAACTTGGTAATAATAACACCTAGAGATGGGCCTCCAATAAAATAAACCCACTATATAAAAAAAACACTTCCTATTCTCAAATGGTTCGAATCGAATAAATTATTCATTGTTCTGTGTTTATGATATCATAGACAAAACTGGTTTTTAACTACCAAATGCTGACCACTATGGAAATGTCCACTTTCGGAAGCTGTTTGCTGGCCACTCCTCGAAATATGAGAGACTGTTCCTCTTATGAGAAGTTTGAAGGTCTTTGTATTAATATTATTTGGGAGACGACCTTGTATGGCGTTAGTTGTTCATACAAGGGATTTTTTTATATTTCAAATGTATGTTTGATGTTAGATGTATACACTACTTAAACGGTGTATTATTTAAATATAGAAACTAACAACTTAATTTTGTATTATAGCATAGAGATCAAACTAGCTTGCGGCTCACTTGATGATAAGTGATTACCGCCGCATATGAGCACCCTCAACACCAGGGGAATTGCAAATTTGGTGGCCTTTTAAAAAGGAATAAGATCTTTTCTTGAAGGTTTCAATATCGTATCGGTTCAGAAATAACATTACTGGAAGGTGCTTCCTCAATATGGTTGTGCGTGGCATAAAGTTTCTAGAAAAATGCATGGTAAAGGACCACCATTCATCCAGATGATCTGAATGGTATTTTGGTGTCTGGCAGATGGTACGATGGTGAAATTGCCAGCTGATATTAATCCGAAAAATTTCTTTAGAACACCTCCGATCGACACTCCATCCAATTCAAACGGGGATCGAAATTACAACGGTCTGAGCCGAGCTTCGAACCCCTAGCGGTGCCCTCAGACTAAAGTTGTAACCATCTGGCGGAAGTTGGCCTTCAGTTATTATATAAGTCCTTCCGCGGGTTTGGGGTGCTATCTGCACTCGCCCCTATTTTCCGGTGAAGCTGTATACGCCAGCTGCGGCCAACAGCACTAGAGTAAAAATCAGTCAAATATAGTTTAGTAGATACAACGTGACTTACAAGGCCAAGTCCTGTATGTGTTGTAGTAACACAGCTAGCACTTCGGCGCTCCGGTCGCAGGCTCCTTTCAGCTCGGCCGTCGCTTCCCGCTTCTGTTCCAGAGCAGCCTTCAGTGTTTCTATACTATCTTGCTGTTTGTACATCTTTGCTTCGTGCTTTGCTCGTTCATCATCTAATAATATAAAGAGTAGGGAAAGTACTAGACTAATAACCACATTTTTTTTTTGTGGATAATAATGGAATGATGCACCCGCCTGGGTTAACGGCTTACGCTGGCGGGGCACCAGTTGAGGATGATAAGATGAACATGAGGTCATATCAGTTAGCTCTTGGCAAATGGTAATTTACCACAACGGTTTCCAGGGGGTACAGCGTGAAGGTGAACTTGACATGGTACATTGAAAGCAAAGGTGTTATTAGTCCACATTACTAACAATTCCCGTCCCCCCTAATAACTCCATTCCTGGCAATGTACCACGTCAGGTTGGCCTCCATGCGGTTCGATTCCTCGCACGGTACAAATAATTGTATACTCATGAGTATAATTGTTTGTCGGTCTGGGTGTTTGCTATTTGTTTTATGTAAGTATATAAAAAAATCAGTTATCTAGTAGTTAGCTAAGGAGAGCAAGCTCTGCTTAGCTAGGGACTAGATGGCGCTGTATGAATTGTCCAGGGATATTATGTCATTTATGTAAGTGTAATTTTTTTTAACGGAAGAATAAAGTTTTTTTTTAATTTCAAACTTTCTTGCAATTCCAATGGTTGCAGTTTGAAATGAAATGAAAATTCATTATTATTTCCCTAACAAATGTAATTGCAGTTTGAAATAAAATAAAAATTCATTATTATGTCCCTAACAATTGTAATTTCAGTTTGAAATAAAATAAAAATTCATTATTATGTCCCTAACAATTGTAATTTCAGTTTGAAATTAAATTAAAATTCATTATTATTCCCCTAACAATTGTAATTGCAGTTTGAAATAAAATAAAAATTCATTATTATGTCCCTAACATTGGAATTGCAATTTGAAATTAAATGGAAATTCATTATTGTTTCCTAACAATTGTAATTGCAGTTTAAAATTAAATCACAACTCTTTATTCTTTCCCTAACAATTGGAATTGCAGTTTGGAGTGAAATGAAATTTAATTATTGTTCCCTAACAATTAGAATTGCTGTTTGAAATTAAATGAAAATACTTTATTATTTCCCTAACAATTGGTATTGAAATTAAAATAAAATCAGCCTACCTATATCAACTTTCAGCATTTTAACGTTATCACTCAAATTCTTCAGCTCGCTGTTAACTTCGTTGATATAATTGAACAGCGCGTAGTTTTCCTCCTCTCGACGCGTATACTCCTGGATTAACTTGTCGACGTCGTCTTCACCAGTGAACTCCTGCAATCAAAATGGAAGGATATGATTTCATGTCTTATCTATCATCTACTCTAGATTTATCAACTATACAAATAATTACATTGAAGTATTTTTTTAACTATTCTGTTAGAACTAGTCTAATGCTGTTGGCCGCAGATGTCCTTTACAGCTTTATAGAACGATAGGGGGCGAGTGCAGATGGCACTCCAGATCCGCGGAAGGACTTATGAAGCGGCTAAAGTACAAATCCTGTCTGACGAACCCTTAAACCTACACGAGGGTCACAAGTTGCGAGAACTGCTTGGTATTTCCCTTTCTGCCACACGATGGAATCGGCACCCCTACTGTGAATGCATGGAATGCTAAAAAGGTCCTCTCACAAAATGTTTAGCAGCAATATGTGAGACAGAGTTTCCCACGCAGACAACTTCTTACAAAATCTACCTTTGTCACAATCTGTGTGGGTCTTTCTGCTTACTTTGATAGCCTCCAGGATGTTCACATAATTATTATAAACCCTCATTTCTTCTTCTTGCTGTTCCAGTCGTTTGGCCTCTGCCTTGGCATCAGCGGTTGTCAGTCTCACAGTCCCTTTTGTGCGTAGAAACTCCTCAAGTTTCATGCTGTGGTCTAGTTGGCGTTGCAGTTCACGTACCTCCTATAATCATTTCATTATTTATTTATTACATATTTAAGTCAAGAGTTCTTTCTTGATCAATTTAGTAATTATCAGGTTAAACATATCGTTGGTATTAAGGATTGTTTATATATTCTTTATTGCACTTTTGTACAATTGGCGAACTAAATGCATTGTCTACCAGCTAACCTTTAGGTAAGAGAACGGTTGATGGGCATTGATGGAAAAGGCCAAACCTATAATTTTACCTAACATAAGGATTATAATTGGTTTGAAGACGTTGTATAGTCTGACACCTATGATTTGCTTACCAAACAATGTTTTCTATAGTCCATGGCAGCTTTGTCCTTTAAGGCATCGAGTTTATTGCACCACTCTTCTCGTTGGTCGTACGTGGTAATCGCCTGCTCCACCAACTCCAGGATCTGAGCTTTACCGTCCATCATCCTCTTGATTTGGTTCTTCCAAATCATGTTGAAGAATTGCCTAAAATAGTTACCAGATTCAAATATGAGTATTAGCTAGTGTGGTAATGTTTTTTATTAACTTTTCTGAATGGTATGAAATAAAGTGGTTATTAAGTTATTATATTATGTTCCTGAACAATTCACACAACGCAATCTAGTCCCAAGGTAAGAAGAACTTGTGTTATAGGTATTAGACAGTTGATATAAAACTTAGATCCTCTTTTTTGTAAATCCATGCATAATATATGTATATAGAAAACACCCAGATCGAATTCGCGGAAGTAAGGATGTATGTTCAACCGCTAGACCACCGATCCTGTCAAAAATGTTTATTTTCAGTCACAATAGTACCTAATGATATCTACATTTTTTTAAACACGAATTTGTCCCGAGAATTGCGTTGTCTATTGTAGAAACTGTTTGAAAACTATGACTAATTTATGTTACTCAAGTAACTATTTATTTATTATGTCAGTCTTGCTATATAGTACACATAAAGAAAATGCAAATCTGTACCATATTTATTTAAAAGAGCAACACGCATGTTTCTTGCTGATTCTTCTTGTGATAAGTCTAAGTTCCGAATGAGTGGTAGAAAAAAAATATTCCCTTATCCGGTTTTAAGAAGTAAGACTTTGTCTTAAGTTTATTTCTATTTTTATTAGGTGCCCCAACAACATTAGCCCAGTCTTGTTAATATTACAATATTCTTATCTGTGATACCTATTACTTACCGGTCACGCAATAACTTGTCGATCTCAAGCCGTATCTTGAAGTTTTCGCTGTTCACTGTGTTAAACTTCTTCATGGCCGTGTTTAGACGATTCTCCAGTTGACTTAACAACGTTTGGTTCGACAATGTGTTCGTGTACTCCTGAAATATTACTTTTTGTATGGCAAACAATCTGACTGCCCTTCTGATGGTATGTGGTTATCATCGCCTAAATACATGAACAGAATCATAAACATCATGTCGTCATATGACGCTTTTTACAATCCTCATGTGTTTGGAACGATCCCATTGTTAGAAATGAAAAATTACGCGGTTCCTCCTGGAAACCATGTTAAATTCCTAGCAAGTTTGCCAAGATACATTTACTGACCTTACGTCATGCTGGTCATATAACCTGTTCCTGGCTCGCGGGCCAGTACAAAACAAGCTGCTCAGCAGCTGAAATAGGTGAGACAGAGGTATTTCAGACTATTTTATACAAAGTCTACCTATTAGTCTCGTTAGCCAAGGAACTGGTTCGGAAGAGCGGTCAACGAACTATGCGACATAGTTCGCAGATCTTCCGCTCCTTAATTCCTATGCGTACGGCATTGTTATACTTTGGTAAATAAAAGTGATGTGAAAATAAAAATAGGAGCTTACTATTTCGCCTCCTGTTCCTTTACTTCTCAACCCCTTGATCTCCCTTTGCACCTGCTTCATGAGGAAGTCCAGCTCGGTGATAGTAGTTCGATGGTCCCTCACCTCTGTTGAACATTTCTCGTGTTCCTTCAGGAGCGAGATTAGTTTATCCCGTGTTTTGGTGTTTTCTAGAATATTCGATGTACTCTTCGTTAGCTGTTGAATTAAAGAGGTTATTAAACATGTTTTTGCTTGTATATCGTGACACACGACTAAATTATTGACTTAGTTTAGTGCTCAATATGTCAATAGTACTTAGACTATTTCTAATTTAATTCCGTAATGATTTAAAGTGTATTTTCATAACACAGCTACGTAATCACGTAGCGCTAGATATATTAAGGTTAATATCATATATATGAATATATGTAGTACTTTTCAAATGGATGATTATGAAATCATACATCCTCCAGCATTAACTGTTTACGCCGATGTCAGATCTGCTCATAGTGGCAAATTCAAGACTTTATCACGTTGGTTTCCAGGCGGAACCGGGTGGAGGTTATTAGCACGGCGATTAGCACACCATATAACAGTTGTTTAGCATACCACATACCACAAGCTCTGCTTACCTTGGGAAGCTCTGATAGATGGCGCTGTGTGAACTGTCCTTTATTATCCTTAATATACATGTAGAACAGTACAGTAATGCTCTCCGTCACCCCGATTGATTCCCCGCTAAATTCAAACGGGGATCGAAATTATGACGGTCGGATTCACCGCTAGAGGTTCGAAAACCCCTATACTAAAGTCGTATTCATTAGGTAGAAGTTAGCCTTCAGCCGCTCCATAAGTCCTCCCGCTTTTGGAGTGTCATCTGCACTCGCCCTCTTATCGTCCGATGAAGCTGTACGTGTAGCTACGGCCAACAGAATTAGAGTAGTCAAAAAAAAATTCAAAAAAGTAAAAAATAAATTATTACTGTTACCATCCCGCCCTCACCTCCACCCACGTAATGTTGGTATTGCAAAAAAGTATTTTTTTCTTGGATAGGATGGTGTATCTGTACATAATATTATCTTATCTGTGTTTCAAACTATCTAAAGACAAATAGCTCTACAAAAACAACATAATTTACGAAACAGATTTAATTAGGTCTCTGTAAGCAGAAAACGAAATGATGATTCTCAGACTGTCAGTTTCGTTAGTACAATTAGTTCTTTATGTTGTGGTAATTAAATTACGTTAATTAGTATTCAAGACGGCAATCTGTACATTGACAACGAATGGACGTGTACGCAACGCAATGTTATTAGGTCCGTTTTATTTGTACGTATAAATTATTTCGTAAATTCTTCTTGGTTTGTGCCGACAACTTACACGAGATTTCACGTACTTGTACTTAATTTCCCACAAAGAACTAATTAGGGGATTTTTTATTTATTGACATACCTACAAATTTATACAAAAATCTAAATATATATAACTCAAAGGTGACTGACATAGTGATCTATCAATGCACAGCCCAAACCACTGGTCGGATCGGGCTGAAATTTGGCATGCAGGTAGATGTTATGACGTAGGTATCCGCTAAGAAAGGATTTTGATTAATTTTACCCCCAAGGAGATAAAATAGGGTATGAAAGTTTGTATGAAACTTTGTCAATATTAAACCGATCGGGCTGAGACTTTGCATGCTAAAGCTACTATGACGTAGGCATTCCCTAAGAAAGGGTTTTGATAAATTCCACCCCTAAGGGGATAAATTAACGCGAGCGAGGCCGCGGGCAAAAGCTAGTAAAATATAAACAACAAACCGCAAAACTGCTCAGCAGTTTGTCTGCAGCAAAAGCGCTTAACTTCATCCTCCAAATCCGGCCTGTCATCATTTACTGGCCTCCACCCGTGTATAAAGCACATAGGTGATTCACTATTGCATCATATATTTTTAACTTTCGCATAAATATTTACTTCTATACAAATAAATTAAATTGAAGTGTCTGTTTGGGATTTTATAACAGCTTTTTACTAATTGCTTATGACATTAGTTATATGCGGTACTTATATAAAAAAAATATTTTGTTTGTTCTTGCTAATTTCTGACACGGCTAGACCGATTTTGACAGCACTTTCGCAGATATCTAATAAGGATAAATAATATGGAGTAATTTAGGCTATTCTTATATCTTTTAATTAAATCCTTATAAGTTAATCCCTTAGGTAACAAAATTAAGTTTACTCGGTTGTAACACTGCTTGTAACATGCTGTAAGAATATCAGCAACTCAATAATGATAAATAAAATGTATTAAGATCCCATGATTTTTAGATATATATTGCCTCTGTCACTATCATATACTACCATTTTATCAAGCGCGACCACTGTACCAATAGCTGTAAAAAAAACAACAAAGCACTGCAGGCTAAAGAAACTTGTTGATGGCCGAAATGACGTAAAGAACTTAATTTATCCGTGACACGTAACAGAACCCGTTCAAAATAGTTTCACGCTGAGGTTTGCATGTCAGCAATACAATGGTCACGTACATAGGTTACAATGCAAGGTTTCTAAATCCATACACTTTATAGTACCTAGTCCTCGAGTCAGAGGCATTTTTCGTCTAAAATTTTCCTCCCGGTCGAAAACTTCTAAATTAGTTAAGAACGTTATGTTATAAAGCTTAGGGGTAGTCAGCTGCAGTTCCGAGGATGATTTTAGGAGCAACACTTTCGCAAACATGGGATATAATCAGTTATTTCCTTTCGGTTTAAATGATGAAGATTAATAATGATTTGATAGCAATTTCAAAATAGTTTCCCGCTGACGTGCAATATAATGATCACACATACACTTTATAGTAATCGTCGAGCCAGAGGCTGTTTTCGTCAATTCTTTCCACCCGGCCAAAAACTTCTAGAAAGTTGTGTTATGAAGCTTAGGGGTAGTCAGCTGCAGTTCCGTGGATGATTTTAGGAGCAACACTTTCGCAAACATGGGATATAATCAGTAATTTCCTCTCGGTTTAAATGATGAAGATTAATAATGATTTGATAGCAATTTCAAAATAGTTCCTCGCTGACGTGCAATACAATGATCACACATACACTTTATAGTAATCGTCGAGCCAGAGGCTGTTTTCGTCAATTCTTTCCACCCGGCCAAAAACTTCTAGAAAGTTGTGTTATGAAGCTTAGGGGTAGCCAGCTGCGGTTCCGAGGGTTCAAAATAGTTGCTCGCTGACGTGCAATATAATAATCATATACCCACAGGTTACAATGCAAACTTTCTAAATCCATACACTATAGTACCTACCTGGTCCTCGAGCCTCGAGCTAGAGAGCCTCTAGGTATTTTTCGTTCTATTACTTCGTCCCGGTCGAATACTTCTAAGATGGTTAAGAAATGTTGAGTTATGAAGCTTAGGGATAGTCAGCTGCAGTTATGACGGTGGCTTGAGTAAAACCTTCGCATTGTTAGTAACGTCACGATTGGGCTAACTGACCTGACCTCATGTTTATCTTATCATACTCCACTAGTATCCCGCCAGCGTAAATTACATTAAAAACTCCTACATCTAAAACCTATACCACTGTATTTTTTTAAATTGTAGTTTTTATGTTGTGTAGGCGCAGCACAAATGCATAAGTTTGTATTAATGAGTGGATGTTTGTTTGCCTATTTCATGCAAAAACTACAAAATTGATTCGAAACAAATTTGTCACACTGAGCCCTTAATCTTATCTTGATCTTAAGTATCACAAGTATGCACTTGTGATACTTAAGGGCAGAGAAGGACGCATTATGCCATCTCTAGCGCACACTACTGGCGTCATCAAGCATTAAGCTGCGATCAGCGTGTGAGAACAGTGTTAGGTAATTATGGGCCTTCACCCATAATTAGGAATAAAAACAGTAGGTTACTTAGCAAATTCAGGCTAGTAAAGGACACACCTTCAGTTCCATCATTATTTTTTCCAGCTCTGTATTGAGGCTCTTGATCATATTCCTCTGGACCCTCAGCGTCGGCTGAACGCTGCTCGTCACCATTGCTCGGTCGATCTCCATTACCCTGAACTGATAAGAGAAATTGAATAATTTTTATTATAATGCTAGAATGACAGTCAGTTGACGACTCATCTAATGGTTTATTAACATTATAGAGCCCTCTCTGATTATTAGTAACATCGCAGATAAGTAATATGGAGTGCTGACCCCAGCAATGTGCAAAGTTAAGTTGACCTCCACGCGGTTCCCCTGGAAACCTTCTTGATAAATTCTTGGTGAATTTGTCACAATGTGTTAACTAATCTGAGCTTATTTTCGTCTTATTATGTTCCACTACTGCCCGCCAGCAAAAAATAGGTTTCAAGCTTCTAGCTTTAAAAATGACGATACTTCCATATAAAACTTCATCTTCCCTTTCAACCTCTTTTTTTTATTTTTTATTCTTACATTTATTTAGGGACTTTTATCATAATATGATAATGCCAGTCCCATCGTATTCAAACTCTTAAAACTAAAAACTAGTTTAATATAAGAATATCTTTCTAACAGTCTAGAAACACCCATAGAAAAGACAGATATTCTAATCTGTGTACCAAATTTAATTGTAATCGGTTTAGTAGTTTTGGCGTAAAAGCGCGACAGACGGACAGACAAAGTTACTTTAGCATTTATTATATTAGTAAGGATTATTACTCAGATTTAAGGGTATCTACCTGTCTCTGCAGTTTAGACAGTTCATCCTCAGCTATCTTCTCCATTTCCATATCATCAGTAGGAACTGCCATTTTGGTATCAGAACTCCCTGTATCACCTCGGCCCCTGTATAACACTTTTTACAAACTGAAGTAAATATCATGTACCTACTAAGAGTACGAGTACTCACTAAAATATATTTGAAATTAAATCAATACTATCACTAGGTAACGGAAAGTTAGGAATATTTGGTAGATTAAGAAAATTTTATTTGGTTTCGGTCTGTGCGTTTTTTTCTTTTTTTTTTATGTAACTAGAACCTTACGTGTCTTTGCCATAACAAGCTACATGCTACGTTTACATTCAGCCGCCCTCCCTGCCCCTCGCGCTGCCGGAAATATTGCCGGGTGACAACTGAGCGAGAGGGCTGAATGTAAAAACACGCTGCCACTCGCGCTGCCAGTCCATTGACTCGCGCACGAAAAACCCACAATCGAGGGAGCGCCGGGCAGCGCGAGTGGCAGCGCCAATGGCATGGGAAGTGTTTCCACTCGTGTTTGCACTCTCGCGCTGCTCACTTCCCTGCCCACTCGGGCTGAGTGTAAATTGGGCATAAGGTATTCTGATTCCAGAGTACAAAAATATTATGTCCCCACATCCTGTAATTTTCTGTATCTTCCTACACATTATCTACAAAGTAGGTAACATGTAATTAAATGTGAGTTTTGAGTATTTTTTTTAATGGATCTCAATAGATGGAGCTTCCATTTGCGCTAATGGTTTACGCTGGCGGGGTACCTGCACTGCAATGCACCATAGCATGCCAATCTCTATGTAGCTGGTGTAAGTGGTGAAGACGTAGATATTATATATTTTTATTGTAATGGAATGGTGCACCCGCCTACGCTAACGGTATAAGCTAGCGGGGCACCAGTGGAGGATGATAAGATGATTATGACGTCAGCTCAGTTAGCCTATCATAGCAAATTCACAAGGAATTTATCACGATGGTTTCCACGAGGAATCACGTGGTCAACCATGGCACATTGCTAGCAATGGGATCATTAGTCTACATTGTTAACAATCCCCTTCCCCCGAGTTTCTGAACTGTATTGATACAGTACAATCTACCTACAAAGTAGAATCGTATAATCTCAATTTAAATCAAGGTGAATTTTTGGCCATAGAAACACAATGGTATCACTTCCTACAACCTATATTTTGGTGCACCAATTTTGACCAACTGGCCACTCTCTTAGTTCACCTTGATGTTGTATATCTATCCTTGTCTGGCACGGAGGCTTTCCTTTAATACCTGTTATCGCCATTTCATTTCAACGCACGTGTTGGTTTATTTATGGCATAGATTAAGTCGTCTGGTAGACGTGCGTGTTTATTTTTGAATAACTTCAAACAGGTGGTTCGTTGTATATTATAATAATAATAATTTTTATAAATATTTTTTCTGATAAGTAGAATTAAAAATATATCTTGTTAGATCACGTCTCTTGATTCTACATTAATAAAATTACGTAGGTAATCAACTATTAAATTTATTTTAATTAATGAATAAAGTATTCTTAATTTAATCTCAGGTGTAGTAAACCTCGTTTCTTCTATCGTCTTGACTTAGAATCAAATTCGGATCGGATTCGAGCATAATAACGTACTAATTGCTACGAATGTCATTCAATAACAAAGTTTTAGTTATCATATCCGAGCGACTAGGTATCAAATAAGCTAGCGTAATGCTATTGTTTTTAGGAGCGGAGTGTCTTATTTTTTATAATCGGCAGTTACCGAGAGCTTTAATTATAAAAATAAATTTAAACATTAACTTAGAAAAAAATTCAGGCTTGTATCAGAAATATTTTTATTATTACGTAATTATATTGAGAACCGAATGGATTACTTTTTCAAATATAGCATTAAATGAACTCATTTAACTGAATTAAATTATTTTTACGAAACGCATTTACGAAGTTCAATTTGGTATTTACCTAATTGCATGTTTGTTTGAATGTATAATCTATGAGCGGCGCGCTTCGTTATGGCTGGAAGGTTTTGTTCGCTTCTGTTGTGTCCGCATCGTTGTCGAGGCAACATCGCGTCTCTTGCGCGCGCCACCGCGAGTGTATCCATCGACAAAATAAAGTATTAAATCGTGATCAGTGTGTAGTGTATGCCAGTGAACCGGAAATGTTGATGCAACTGTGATCAAAAAGTTATTATAATGGCATTGAAAAAGGATTTCGAACTCAACAAGAACATATTCAAAAGTGTGAAAATTCAAATACCCAAACCCGTGAAGATTCAGCAGGCGATAGACAAGTTGTTCAAAAGGAATAACTACGAGAAAATAGTGCAAAGTTAACTTACACTATTAGTTTAGTAGAAACAGGCTTAGTGGATTAAATGGCCGGTGAAGTTAGTGCAAATATTAGTAGAAGTAGAAATAGTAATCGCGCCGAACCAGAACCGCCTGATAGAAACAAATCGCCTAATTTTATAACAAACGAAACAGAATTCATTGGTAGAGGAGATATATTGAGATCATCAACGCCTATAAACAAACATAGAAGAAGTAGAAGCAGGAGTGGAAGTAGGAAACTAAAGTTTCTGCTATTATCAACGGTCAGACCAAACGGTGGCATGAACGGGGAGCAAGAGTTGGACGTGTGGAGTCAACTCCAGCAGAAGGAGTCTGATCTCCTACTGGCAGCTGAACTGGGGAAAGCACTGCTGGAGAAAAATGAGGAATTAAAGAAAGAACAGGAGCGTGTCTCGGACGAGTACGCGAAAAAAGTTGAGGTATGTATTCAACTGTTTAAGTATTTTTAGTCATACTATTTTTCAAAAGTGTGAAAATTCTTGGAATATTAATTATACCCATAACCCGTGGAAGATTCAGTTTCCAATATATAGACAAGTTTTAATTGCAACAACTGGTAATTAAGTAAATTGCGTATGTACTTATGTAGTTTAATTAAGACTCTGATTTCTGATTCGGTACAATTAACACCCGTTATTTTTAAGGAGTTATAGTAATTGTAATAATGTCTTAGTGGGTATAATAAGACTTAGATAAGGATTGATATAGAATTCTTCAATGGTTCATTATGAGCCTATATTAAATGTTACCCTCTAAATAATTTAAGTTTACAGTATATTATGTAAAATGTTCTTTAACTTTAAGATAATTAACATTGTTAATATAAACCTATGTTTAGTGCAAATAAATTTGATTTGATTTGAACATTAAATATTATATGTATTATGTCAAAATTCAGCGATGTACAACCCTGATACACGATTATTTATTTTTGAGTTAAGGCGACGCCGTGATACTATTACTTCAAAATCGGGCCCCGCGCTCTGCGCACCTCAAACCCCGATAACGTGTCGCCGATCGACCGAAGAAGATATCAGAACACGCGTCCGTGTCGCAATGTAACGCGTGAATCAAGTAGACGAAGCTTCGGTCCCCAATTGAACAAAACTATTGAGTCGTTCCTGTTTGTTTATATAATTTATATTTATGAAGGCACATTGATATTTTAGAATTTACAATACAGTGGAACTATGTACGATACGAATTAATTAAAAAGATTCGGAATTAAATAGAAAATTGAGGTAGAGTTACATATTCCCGTGATTATAATGGACGTAAACTAGTGCTTTTATTACTATCTTTGAAAGAAATACCAAAATATAATCTTTGTGTTTTCCATATATATTGTAATTGGTAATTACGACGTTTATTTATTTTGGGAGTTTTTTGAAACAGCTAGATATTTTAATGTATACTACATTAACGTACTTACGTTAAATGAAATGTGAAAATATGTAGTTTAATATAAAAAGACAATAAGTCTGCGTTTCTGTGAATGATAGGTATATCAATTAAAAAATCTATATATATTATATATTTGATACAATAAACCTAAATTTAGTAATAATGTATGTGACTTTAATTTTATTTATTTGATACGCGTAGTGGACATATTTCTTTATGTAATTTAACATTATATGAAAGTATATTTTCAAAAATGCCTATAAGTAATTTAACATTATATGTAAGTAAAAATACGTAAAGATATACACTTTATGTACAAAATAGTAAAACTTTTACAGTAATTTATAAATTATTATAATAAATATTAAGTTTTAATTACATGCAAAAAGGACGTAAACAATTACAACCTAATCATAAAAGATCTATTACTTCATACAAATGAAATTATTGAATAATTATAGGTTTGAACATGATTATTTATATTTTTATGCATAATTTAATGACTATTCTGCAAACCTTCTCTATATAAACTATAAGTACGCGAAATTTCATATTCATCCGTCCGCGCTGTTTTTCGTAAAAAAGATAAAAAGTTATTACGATAAAAAGAAAAGGATAAAAAGTTGTCACGTATTAATACATGCGTTTTAATAAATTTATATAATACTTTTCATTATTTCACTTTTTTATTTATTTATTTCCTTGGACCTACCAAGGAATCTTAATTTTACGGCAAAATAATAAGAGAGATGGATAGTGGACATGTTTGCCATGAGTGAGCGAGACAGATATGACGCCACTTTTACCAAAGGCAACAAAAGTAAGTAAAATAATTAAAATAAAGAAAAATCTTAACCTAGTTTAGGTTTATTTAAATAAGGATAATATTGAGGAATAAAAGTTTGAACTACGTGAAACGGATGCATTTCGGGTATTTTAAAATAGATGTGCTGTCTATTACAATAAGAAAGAACGGGAAAAAGAAAAAAAAAGAAAAAAGAAGAAAAGTATTTTCGTTTGTGTACAAAGTCATCTGCGACCTTTTGCAACACTTCTTCCTAATAAGGAAAGCGAGTTCTACCTCCAGCCCGTATTTGATTCGGGAAATGGCCGCCCTCCGTGAGTGTGATCTGGATAGCGCTCTAAATTTGGATATCTTTCACGATAGATGCCTAGCGGCAGCAATTGCATTGCATCTGCATTCCTCATAAATGAGGTGCTTGTTCGCAATTTTTTGTGAAGTAAATAACAAGGATACCAACACAAAAGTCCAATTCCAAAAGAGACAACCCAAAGTTGTCGGTTATTTATTTGTCCAACGAATTTTCGAATACAAAAAAACGCGCAGTAGGTCTGAAGCTGAAAAAATGAGCAAAAGCCAAAACAGGATATTGAAGCAATTTTTTTGGAATATTAATTATTTTGACCTTAATATACTCGCAAGTAGCCATTTGCTTGGTATGGCGACTGTATCTTTGACTGGGTGGCACATCTGTCTCGCTCGCTCACGACAACATGTTACCCATTTCTCTTATCATTTTGCCGTAAAATTAAGAACCTACTACTATAAGCTTGTGTGAAATATATATTTAATTAAAAAATTTATTTCTCGTTTTTTTTAGTATGAAACTAACAAGTGTACTACAACAAGTGTACTATTGTACATTTACAATCCAGATTAAATGTTTTTAATTGCATTTTTTTAAAGGAGGGCCTTTAAAAATAATTTATGAAAAAATATAGTTTAACAAATGCTAATTTATCATTATTTTTTACTGTGATTCTAGAAATGTTATTTGGCTTTATGGTTCCAAAGTTTAAATGAACAAAAATAATAAAAATTAAGCACAATGACCGAATAATGGTTATAGTTTGACCAAATTTCTAAGTTTTTCTTTAACTAATTTTCAAACTGCATGGGATAGATTTTTTTCTGATTTTTCTAGTTACAATCAATTCTCTCACTTTAGCCAAATATTTCACTATTACTTTGACTTTCCATAGCTACAAAGACAAGTGCTTACCTGACTTACTACAGATAAAAAGTACTTATCGGGAAAATAAAGTTGAAAATATGTCACAATTTTTTATGTGATACTCCAACATATAGTCGGACAGACAACAATGATTAATTAAATAATATTTTTGTGATTCAATATTATAAATTATTGACAATCAATAAGTTTTTTGATTACACTAAATATGTAGTAACATTGAGAAAAAAATACTTTATTTTGGATTCAATATTATATATTATTTAAGGAGTTATAGTAATTGTAATAATGTCTTAGTGGGTATAAGAAGACTTAAATTAAGGATTGATATAGAGTCGATTTTTTCTTTTCAATGGTTCGCCAATCCTATAGCCGGACAGACCATCCATTTGGCGGGACATATTGGTAAAACGGCCGGATACCCTACATTATTGAGGGATTTGTGTCTTAATATAATGTAAATATTTATTACAAATAAATTACATTACATTACAAATAATTTTGTTAATTATTATAAATAAGTGTTACTTTAGGTGCGACCCGTCAAAATATTTAAAATTTAAATTGGCCCGTTGATAAAAAAGGTCGCTCACCCGTTCTAGATAGTATCAACAAAAATTCTTCTTAACGTCTAATGAAAGGTAATTGCATAAATAAATATTATTTACCTGTACCTGTTACTTCAGCAACTAACGAAATAAAAAAAATAAGCAAAACAAAACTTCTTGAGAAATAAAATAAAATTAGTTTTACAATAAAATAATGTAAAAGCCTACCAAACGGCGTACAAGACTATTTATTTTAGCCAGATGCCTGATATCAGTGCAACCATTTCAGAGATTAGCCGGAACAAACGACAGACAGACAGACAAAATTGGTAAAAAATTTATTTTAGTAAAAAACTGTTATTTCAATATTACCAACAAACACAATTTTATTTATATGTATATAATACAAGCATATAAAATATTTTTTTGTTATTTTGTATACCTACTTTATTAACTTTTTATAATATTACACCTTTTATAATATCAAATTGGAGTAGATATCTATAGCAACTTTATTTAGTTTTCTGTAAAACAGGTAGACATATATGTTCATTGCATACTTACCTTTAGTTTTAGTTCTTTACATAACATATAGTATAATTTGTACTTCTAAAAATCATAAAACTAGAAATTCAATAGATAATAATAATAGAACAGAACAGAAGAACAGGTAGGTAGAAACCTAACAAACTGCTTTTATTTTTAAAATCATTGGAACACTGTTGATTTTGCATAAAATTGAATATATTTACTTTATATTATTCGCGCGATACAGAAAAACACTCGTAAATATGCGAATGACATTGGAAAAGTTAAGGTATCTGAGGTCAATATTTGCAATGCGTCGCCTTAACAAAATATAATACAAGCATATAAAATATTTTTTTGTTATTTTGTATACCTACTTTATTAACTTTTTATAATATTACACCTTTTATAATATCAAATTGGAGTAGATATCTATAGCAACTTTAATATATAATCATAATTAATTTTATTTTCGTCTTTATATTCAACCGAATATAATCATAATTAATTTTATTTTCGTCTTCCTATTCAACCGTTTAGCGATATCTGATCTTTCGTTCTCATTGAAAACTCATTACTTAGTGGATGCTTGTGTTATAAAAGTAAACGATTCTAAGTTTCTAACATCAACCGTTCATAATACTCATTTGAAACAAGTTTATAAGTCGATTTTTTACAGTCTACCAGACTGTAAACTGTCAGTTTTTTTTATTAAGGGTTTTGGGCTATTGTCAGATGTTAAGATCTGTAGCATTGCGACCGTAGATCTATCGTGCTCGCCCTTTTTCTCAAAGTTCGCTAGTAGTGACCTAGACCCGTCAGTGATAAGAATTGAAGAATATTCTTAGGAGCGATGGTTTTTATCTCCTCAGGGTATAGTGTATACTTTAAAAAAAAAACTGACTGATACTGTTGACTGTAAAAAGTCTGCGTGTGGAGCTCAGT